CAGGCTGGAGTGCAATGGCACGATCTCGGCTCACCGCAACCTCCGCCTCCTGGGTTCAGGCAATTCTCCTGCCTCAGCCTCCCGAGTAGCTGGGATTACAGGCACGTGCCACCATGCCCAGCTAATTTTTTGTATTTTTAGTAGAGACGGGGTTTCACCATGTTGACCGGGATGGTCTTGATCTCTTGACCTCGTGATCCACCCGCCTCGGCCTCCCAAAGTGCTGGGATTACAGGCTTGAGCCACCGCGTCCGGCTTTTTTTTTTTTTTTTTTTTTTTGAGACAGAGTCTCGCTCCGTTGCCAGGTGCCAGGCTGGAGTGCAGTGGCGCAATCTCAGCTCACTGCAACCTGTCTCCCGGGTTTAAGTGATTCTCCTGCCTCAGCCTCCCCAGTAGCTGGGGCTACAGGCGCACACCACCACACCCAGGTAGGTTTTGTATTTTTAGTAGTGACAGGTTTCTCCATGTTGGCCACGACGGTCTCGATCTCCTGACCTCATGATCCGCCCGCCTTGGCCTCCCAAAGTGCTCAGATTACAGGTGTGAGCCACCGTGCCCGGCCTCACTTTTGGATTTTTAAGTAGAGAGGGTGTTTCACCATGTTGGTCAGGCTGGTCTCGAAACCCTGACCTTGTGATCTGCCTACCTCAGCCTCCCAAAGTGCTGGGATTACAGGAGTGAGCCACTATGCCTGGCTATTTTTTCTTTTTTTTAAATTTTATTATTATTATTATTTTATTTTTATTTTTATTTTTTGAGACGGAGTTTCGCTCTTGTTACTCAGGCTGGAGTGCAATGGCGCGATCTCGGCTCACCGCAACCTCCGCCTCCTGGGTTCAGGCAATTTTCCTGCCTCAGCCTCCTAAGTATCTGGGATTACAGGCACGCGCCACCACGCCCAGCTAGTTTTTTGTATTTTTAGTAGAGACGGGGTTTCACCATGTTGACCAGGATGGTCTCGATCTCTCGACCTCGTGATCCACCCGCCTCGGCCTCCCAAAGTGCTGGGATTACAGGCTTGAGCCACCGCGCCCGGCCCTTATTATTAGTTTTTAAGACGGGGTTTCACCATATTGGTCAGGCTGGTCTTGAACTCCTGACCTCAGGTGATCTGCCCACATTGGCCTCCAAAGTGCTTGGATTATAGGCGTGAGCCACTGCGACTGGCCATAATTTTTTTTTCTTTTTTGAGACAGAGTCTTGCTCTTGTCGCCCAGGCTGGAGTGCAATGGTGTGATCTTGGCTCACTCCAACCTCTGTCTCCCGGGTTTAAGGGATTCTCCTGCCTCAGCCTCCTGAGTAGCTGGGATTACAGGTGCACACAATCACAACGAACTAATTTTTGTATTTTTAGTAGAGAGGGGGTTTTACTATGTTGGCCAGGCTGGTCTTGAACTCTTGGTCTCAGGTGATCCACCCGCCTCAGCCTTCCAAAGTGCTGGGATTACATGCATGAGTCATGGCGCCCGGGCTGCTCATTCTCTTTCTCGTGGAGGCGACACTGATTTCATTTTGGGGAGCCTGCTTCTCCCACTCTTGGTCCTGCTGGCTTCCAGTGAGGTTCACAGGGCTCTCTTGGGGGGCTGGCACTCCATCCAGGCCTGACCAATCAGAACCGGCCCTTCTCCCTCACTGTGGTGATTGGCTCAGGGCGGAGTACCTCCTTCAACTTGGTGCACTGAGAATCTGCTCTGAGACTTTCAAATTTTGGGAAAGAGACACTTCCTCTTTCTGCCTCCAATGCTGAACTGATGGAATAAAAGCCTGAAGCTGTGGGTGGCTGCTGCTGCCACCTCACCTCGTGGTGAGAATCTGCTTGGGAAAGGAGCCGCCCTAGAGGAGGCTGAGCCAAGCGACGGTTCCAGACACATTCTTTTTTTTTTTTTTTGAGACAGAGTTTCACTCTTGTTACCCAGGCTGGAGTGCAATGGCACAATCTCGGCTCACCGCAACCTCCGCCTCCTGGGTTCAGGTAATTCTCCTGCCTCAGCCTCCTGAGTAGCTGGGATTACAGGCACGTGCCACCATGCCCAGCTAATTTTTAGTATTTTTAGTAGAGACGGGGTTTCACCATGTTGACCAGGATGGTCTCGATCTCTTGACCTCGTGATCCACCCGCCTCGGCCTCCCAAAGTGCTGGGATTACAGGCTTGAGCCACCGTGCCCGGCCCAGACACATTCTTGACAACGTGTGAGCACCAGCAGCAGCCCTGCCCTGGGACTAAGGTGCCACTGCTAATAAATGCCTTTTTTTTTTCCCAAGCCACCGTTGTCACTAGCAACAGAATCTGACCAAGGAGTGGCCAGGCGCAGTGGCTCATGCCTGTAATCCCAGCACTTTGGGAGTCCGAGGCAGGAGGATCACCTCAGGTCAGGAGTAAGAGACCAGCCTGGCTAGCATGGTGAAACCCCATCTCTACTGAAAACACAAAAAATTAGCCAGGTGTGGTGGTGGGCGCCTGTAATCCCAGCTACTCAAAAGGCTGAGGCAGGAGAATTGCTTGAACCTGGGAGGCGGAGGTTGTAGTGAACTGAGATCTTGCGCCATTGCATTCTAGCCTAGGCAACAGACCAAGATTCCATCTAAAAAAAAAAAAAAAAAAAAAAATTTGAATGAGAGAACAATCCCCCGTTTTTGTTTTTGTTTTTTTTTGATGCGGAGTTGTGCTCCTGTTGCCCAGGCTGGAGTGCAATGGTGTGATCTCAGCTCACCGCAACCTCCGCCTCCTGAGTTAAAATGATTCTCCTGCTTCAGCCTCCCGAGTAGCTGGGATTACAAGCATGCACCACCACGCCTGTCTAATTTTTATATTTTTAGTAGAGGCGGGGTTTCGTCATGTTGACCAGGCTGATCTTGAACTCCCGACCTCAGGTGATCCGTCCACCTTGGCCTCCCAAAGTGCTGGGATTACAGGTGTGAGCCACTACGCTGGCCAGAACAAGTGAACAATCCTTTGGGACCCAGCTCCTATGTCTTCTCTAGGACATGTGTACAACCCCCACCTTCCCTGCCGTCTGCGCCCGTGTCATTAGCGTGCCCTTGCTACTGCACCACCTGCATGGGGGCCTTGTGCTGTCCACAGCTCTGCCCACCTGGCTGAGGACCATAGGGCCAGGTCTGCGTGTGATGCTGGTTTCTCCTCAGCCACACAGTCGATGGAGGCCTAAGTCTGGGTCCACAGTGCCCCTGCTGGCCACTCCCCTTCCCCAGGGTAGGGGCCCTGCCTCACTTCTTCTGAGGACAAGGCCAAAACAGCCACGCAGGCCGGGTGCAGCGGCTCACACCTGTAGCCCGAGCACTTTAGGAGGCCGAGGCACGAGGATCACCTGAGCCTAGGAATTCAAAACCAGCCTGGGCAACGTAGAAAGAAAAAAAAATTAGCCAGGCATGCTGGTGTGTGCCTGTAGTCCGAGCTACTTGGGAAGCTGAGGTGGGAAGATCACTTGAGCCCAGAAGATCAAGACTGCAGTGAGCACTCCAGCCCAAGTGACAGAGCAAGACCCTGTCTAAAAATAAACAAAAAATTTAGCTGTGGCCGGGCTCGGTGGCTCAAGCCTGTAATCCCAGCACTTTGGGAGGCTGAGGCGGGTGGATCACGAGGTCAAGAGATCGAGACCATCCTGGTCAACATGGTGAAACCCCGTCTCTACTAAAAATACAAAAAAATTAGCTGGGCATGGTGGCGTGTGCCTGTAATCCCAGCTACTCAGGAGGCTGAGGCAGGAGAATTGCCTGAACCCAGGAGGCGGAGGTTGCGGTGAGCCGAGATCGCGCCATTGCACTCCAGCCTGGGTAACAAGAGCGAAACTCCGTCTCAAAAAAAAAAAAAAAAAAAAAAAAAATTTAGCTGTGGCTGGGCACCATGGCTCACAACTGTAACCTCAGCACTTTGGGAGGCCAAGGCAAGTGGATCACTTGAGGTCAGAAGTTCAAGACCAGCTTGATGGATATGGTGCAACCCCACCTCTACTAAAAATACAAAAATGGCTGGGCTTAGTGGCTCACACCTGTAATCCCAGCACTTTGGGAGGCCAAGGTGGGTAGATCACAAGGTCAGTTCAAGACCTGCCTGACCAACATGGTGAAACCCCATCTCTACTAAAGATACAAAAATTAGCTGGATGTGGTGGTGCATACCTGTAATCCTGGCTACTTGGGAGGCTGGGGCAGGAGAATCGCTTGAACCCGGGAGGCGGAGGTTGCGGTGAGCCAAAATCACACCACTGCACTCCAGCCTGGGCGACTTAGCAAGACTCCATCTCAAAAAGAAAAAAAAAAAATAAATTGGCCGGGCGCGGTGGCTCAAGCCTGTAGTCCCAGCACTTTGGGAGGCCGAGGCGGGTGGATCACGAGGTCAAGAGATCGAGACCATCCTGGTCAATATGGTGAAACCCCGTCTCTACTAAAAATACAAAAAAGTAGCTGGGCATGGTGGCACATGCCTGTAATCTGAGCTACTCAGGAGGCTGAGGCAGGAGAACTGCCTGAACCCAGGAGGCGGAGGTTGCAGTGAGCCGAGATTGCGCCATTGCACTGGCTGGCCTGGGTAACAAGAGCGAAACTCCGTCTCAAAAAAAAAAAAAAAAAAAAATTAGCTGGGAGTGGTGGTAGAGGCCTGTAATCCCGGCTACTCATGAGGGTGAAACAGCAGAATTGTTTGAACCTGGAGGTGGAGGTTGCAGTGAGCTGAGATCACACCCTTGCACTTCAGCCTGGGCGACAGAGCGAAAACTCCCTCTCAAAAAAACAAATCAGTAAAATTAGCTGGGTGTGGTAGCGGGTGCTGTTAATCCCAGCTATCGGGAGGCTGAGGCAGGAGAACCACTTGAACCTGGGAGACGGAGGTTGCAGTGAGCCGAGATTGCGACACCGCACTCCAGCCTGGGTGACGAGACTGTCTCAAAAACAAAACAAAACAGAACATAACTCCCTGCAACCCAAGGCCCTCGGCCACCTCCCACAGGCCCTCTCTTTTCCTGATATTCACAGGGAGACCAGGTTGGCAAACACATATTGCTTTATTTAGTGTTTCTCTGGATTGCAGAAGTGTCAGCAGTGCGCTGAGACCCCCAAAGGGCAAAGAGGCAGCTGGGCAGCCCCCAGGCCTGAGGGCAGGGGTGGGGAGAAGCAGCAGAAAGAGGTGATGCCCCTGCCGCTCCTCCCACGGCCAGCCCCTTCCCTAGGCTCCCGTGCCAGGGAGGCGCCAGGAAAAGCCCTACATCCTTGAGTGGGGCCCAAGTGTGTGGGCAAGGTGTCTGCCATGCCAAGGCATGGACCCAGGCAGAAGCGCTCTTCCCACCTGGCAGCCCCCAGGGCTGAGGGCTGGTGAGGGAGCCAGATCCACTCTTAAGAGGAGACCTGTGTTTTACAGGCCCCCGTCCCTGGGAGAGGCAGAGGAGGCTGGCAGTCCTGGTTTTGCAGCGCCTGCTGTGTGACATGGGCAAGCCCTTCCCCTCTCCGCCTTCTGCTCTGAAACATCAGGGCTGGGCTTGATGATCTCAAGGGTCTTCGGACCTCTACGGTCTGAGACGTCTTTCCCCACTCCAGCACATCCTCAGAGCCCAATGATCATGACAGTGAAAGGGCATTCTTTTTTGTTTTTGAGACGGAGTCTCGCTCTGTCGTCCAGGCTGGAATGCAGTTGTGTGATCTCAGCTCACTGCATCCTCCACCTCCCGGGTTCAGGCAACTCTCCTGCCTCAGCCTCCTGAAAAGCTAGGATTACAGGTGCCCGCCACCATGCCTGGCTAGTTTTTGTATTTTTAGTAGAGATGTGGTTTCGCCACCTTGGCCAGGCTGGTCTCAAACTCCTGACCTCAGGTGATCCACCCACCTCGGCCTCCCAAAGCACTGGGGTTACAGGCAGGAGCCACCATGCCTAGCCTAAAAGGGCATTCTTTAGGCAGGAAGAAGGAGGCGGTCAAGGGTGGTCTCAGCCCCCAGGTGGAAGTCACAGTGGGCCGCACGAGGTACAGTGGGCAGGTAGGGGGATGGGCGGACAGATAGGCAAGGTGCCAAGGGAATGAGGAGGAGGGTGGCCTGGCCGGGGAAGAGGGCACCAGAGCCCAGCCCATCCCACTTCTCAGCCACATTCCCTGCCCTGCTGGAGTTAGGGAAAACACATCCAGCGTGTCCTGGGGTGGGAAATGGCTTTTTAAAAAATAGTTTCCTATAAAGCATCAAAACATCTTAGAGAAAACCTCAGCAAAAGTTCCCTTCTCTCAAATATTTGGCATCGGCAGTAGGGCTGGCACGGGTCGCTCTGACCCCGGCTTTGCCATTGCTGTTACCCGGCCTGGCCCACCCCCAGGGAGCTCCCGGCCCCTCTGCTCCCTCGGGAGAGGGCTGGGCAGAAGGCGGGAGTCTGCAGGGGGGCTTCGGGGTATCCCTGGGTCCCTGTCTGAAGTTCGAGTCTTTGGCAGCTGTGAGGGGAGGTAAGCGAAGCATTGGGGGTTGGGAGGGTCCGGCGGGTGCCTTTATCACCGGGAATTGAACCGTGGAGCGACCTGTGGGGGCAGAGAGAGACACTCAAGTGGTGAGGGGAGCACACGGTGGCGGGCCACGACTTTTTTTTTGAGATGGAAATCTCACTCTGGAGCCACCGTGCCTGGTGTGACTCTGTGTGTGTGTGTGTGTGTGTGTGTGTGTGTGTGTGTGTGTATGTGTGTAGTGGGGCCTCGCTATATTGCCCAGGCTGTGCGTGTGTGTGTGCGTAGTGGGGCCTTGCTATATTGCCCAGGTTGTGCGTGCGTGTGTGTGTGTGTGTGTGTGTAGTGGGGCCTCGCTATACTGTGTGTGCTGTGTGTGTGTGTGTGTGTGTGTGTGTGTGTGTAGTGGGGCCTCGCTATACTGTGTGTGCTCTGTGTGTGTGTGTGTAGTGGGGCCTCGCTATACTGTGTGTGCGTGTGTGTGTGTGTGCGTGTGTGTGTGTAGTGGGGCCTCGCTATATTGCCCAGGCTGCTGTGTGTGTGTGTGTGTGTGTGTAGTGGGGCCTCGCTATATTGCCCAGGCTGTGTGCTCTGTGTGTGTGTGTGTGTGTGTGTGTGTGTGTGTAGTGGGGCCCCGCTATACTGTGTGTGCTCTGTGTGTGTGCGCGTGTGTGTGTGTAGTGGGGCCTCGCTATATTGCCCAGGCTGCTGTGTGTGTGTGTGTGTGTGTGTGTGTGTGTGTGTGTAGTGGGGCCTCGCTATATTGCCCAGGCTGTGTGCTCTGTGTGCGTGTGTGTGTGTGTGTGTGTGTGTAGTGGGGCCTCGCTATACTGTGTGTGCTGTGTGTGTGTGTGTGTGTGTGTGTAGTAGGGCCTCGCTATACTGTGTGTGCTCTGTGTGTGTGTGCGTGTGTGTGTGTGTGTAGTGGGGCCTCGCTATATTGCCCAGGCTGGTCTTGAACTCCTGGGCTCAAGCTATTCTCCTGCTTTTGCCTCCCTAAGAGCTGGGATTACAGGCAGGAGCCACTGTGCCTGGCCCTGGCACTTAGGTGCATGGGTTCAGTGCAGTCAGGAGCGGGGGCGCCTAGTGGCCTCCAACCTGGAGACTCGAACCTGACTCCCAGAGGAATGCCCGCTGCCCTGATCACAGTGGGTTCTCCTCCCTCCTGGCACCCCCCAGTCATCCTGTATCTTCCCTGCATTGTTGCGCTGCCTTTTCTTTTTTTTTTTTTTTTTTGACAGGGTCTCGCTTTGTCACCCAGTCTGGAGTGCAGTGGTGAGATCTTGGCTCACTGCAGCCTCAACCTCCCAGGCTCAAATGATCCTCCCACCTCAGCCTCCTGAGCAACTAGGACTACAGGCACCCACCACCATGCCAGGCTTTTTTTTTTTTTTGAGATGGAGTCTCACCCTGTGGTCCAGGCTGGAGTGCAGTGGTGCCATCCTGGATCACTGTAATCTCCCCCTTCCAGGTTCAAGCAATTCTCCTGCCTCAGCCCCCACTAGCAGCTGGGATTATAGGCACCTGCCACCACACCCGGCTAATTTTTGTATTATTAGTAGAAATGGAGTTTCCCCATGTTGGTCAGGTTGGTCTCAAACTCCTGACCGCAGGTGATCTGCCCGCCTGGGCCTCCCTCGGTGCTGGGGTTACAGGCGGGAGCCACTGTGCTGCCCTGTCTGCCATCTTTGCAACTTTCCGCATCGAGGGGCTGGAACAGCCTCTCTCTCTGGCCCTCACGGGTGGGCTAGGGGATCGGGGAGGAGGTATGGTGCCCACTGGATTCAGGCCCATGGGTGAGACGCCCGGGTCTGCCAAGCCCAGAGCCGAGGAAGGCTTGGCCATTGCCGCCCGGGCCGAGAGCAGGAAAGCAGGCCCCACTCACCACAGCCAGGTGCCCGTTCTTGGCCTTGGTGATGGCCAGCTCGGAGCCCGGGGTGAAGTCGATGGTGCCATCCCTGCCGGGACCCCCTGCAAATGTGATACTGAGGGAAAAGGGTGGGTGAGGGTTTCTCACAGAGACGGACCCCAACCCCAAGGTGGACCTCATCCTGCCCCTGTGCGCCTGCATGGCCCCCTGCTGCCTCTGCCCTCCCATGTGCCCCCACATGGCCCTCTCCCTACCCCTGCCCTGACCCGTGTGCCCCCACAGCCCTCTCCTCGCCCCCGCCCTGTCCCCATGTGCCCCCACAGCCCTCTCCCTGCCCCCACCCTGTCCCGGCGTGCCCCCATAGCCCTGCCCCAGCCCTGCCCTGTCCCGGTGTGCCCCCACAGCCCTCTCCCTGCCCCCGCCCTGCCCCCGTGTGCCCACCTGGCCCCCTTGCCACCCCCGCCCTGCCCCAGGCGCCTACCTGGCCTCCTCACACCTCACCTGCCCTGGTTGATGTTGATGTTGTTCACTCGGTCAGCACTGAGGGCCGTCTTGGTCAGTGTCTCAATCACGTGGTCACTCTGCAGCACCACATCTCCCTGGGGGACCAGGTAGGAGGGGTCAGGCCCTGCCCAGAACTCGAGGACCCCCCACTTCTCCCTCATCCACAAAAGGGCACCTTTTGCTTATTGTCCTCACGATGTACGTGAAGCACAAACAGGTTGTCGCTCAGGCTGCTGACAGAGATTCCTGAGGGGGAAGGCAGAGGTCAGAGGTGGGGTGTCAGAGCAGAGCCCTCCCCCGCCGCCCTGGACTCTGGCTGACCGGTCAGGTTGGCGTAATCGATCCTCTGCTTGACTTTGGCATCCTCCACGATGACCACGGCGTTGGGTGTGAGTAAGAGCTGCCGTGCACGGGGCTTGTAACCCTTGCGGTCGTATTTCACGACAGGCACAGCGTACTGGGGACAGAGGCCAGGCTGAAGGGCTGGGCAGAAGCTTCCGCTGTTGCCCGTGCCCGGACCTGCCTCCAGCTCCCGGCGGCAGAATTGTGCTGCTGGACTGCGCACTGTGGGCCAGCTCTTACCTGAATGGGCTCAGAGCCCAGGGCCTGCAGCACTCTGGGGCTGATCTCGTCCGCACCTGCAACCCAGATGGCAGGGAGGGAAGTCAGAGGAGGTGATGGGGGACCAGGATGGCGAGGAAAGGCCGGAGTGCTGGGAAGCCAGGGGCTCACCAAGCCGAGTGCTGATGAAGAGCCTGGGCACGCTCTGAGGGTAATTATCCTTCTTGCCCTTGAAGATCTCACTAGCCACGGCCTTCTGCTGCAGCTGAGGAGGAGGCAGGGGAAGAGTGTCATAGTGGAGGGGGGTACCATCTTCGGGGGCAGGGCCAGCCTCAGGACCTGAGACAGGCTCCCTTACCCGCTCTCTGGTCCCAGCACCAGGAGGCTGAGCCCTGGTCCCCACACTCCCATCAACCCCCAACTTCTTACCCTCTGCTTCCACCAAGCACTCCCAGCAGCTGTCAGGCTGCGAAACTGGCTTTGGAAATGATTCCCCACCCCATCAGGCCCGGGTGCCCCTGAGATTCAGCTCCAGCCTGGGGTCTTGTAGGTTAACGTATCACTAATATTCAGGGTTATTGTAGGTTATCTAAGCTGGGTGGGTCCCTGAGCATCATCCAGTACTGAGTTGGCTAATTCAAGGCACATCCACCAATGGCTGTAACCAGGGCAGACATCATCAATCAATCCCAGTGAAGACACTGACTTTTCAACACAGGGTTCTGAGCTGTCTCTACCAATCAAGGGCAGTTGGCCCATGAGACAAAAACACCTCAAAGGTACTCCAGCCTCCACTTCCTACATGAGACCCAGCAGGGCCTGGCATCCAACTGAGGTTGCCAGCAGACTACGATAAATACAGCAGACCAGGGTAAATATGATAGACTGGGGTAAATACAGTAAACTGGGGTAAATACGGTAGACTGGGGTAAACACGGTAGACCGGGGTAAATATGGTAGACTGGGGAAAGTGCCCCTCCAGGCTGACACCCTTTGAGCGATGCCTGTGGCTCCCAACTCCACTTCGGTGTCCTCACCTAGCCCTGCTCTCCTACCTGCTGCTTCCACTCAGGGCTGATGCTCCGGCAGTATTTCCACACCATGTTCTTCACGCACAACTCCCGCAGAAGCTCTGAGGCCTGGGGGAAGAGTGGGGTCAGAGTTCCTGGACAGCACGGGCCTTTCTCTCTGAAGACATCAAAGTCATGCTACCCTGTCCTTCGGATAAGCAATGCCCCCTCCATCTGGATGATGCTTCCCTTCCTGAGTCCTCTCAAAAGACCTTACTCTTGCCCGCGTGCGGTGGCTCAGGCCTGTAATCCTAGCAATTTTGGAGGCCAAGGCGGGTGGCTCACAGGGTCAGGAGTTCAATGCCAGCCTGGCCAACATGGTGAAACCCCATCTCTACTAAAAATACAAAAAAAAAAAAAAAAATTAGCTGGGCGTGGTGGCAGGTGCCTGTAATCCCAGCTATGCAGGAAGCTGAGGCAGGAGAATCGCTTGAACCAGGGAGGCGGAGGTGGCAGCAAGCTGATGGGGCACTTGCAATCCAGCCTGGGCGACTAAGCGAGACTCCATCTCAACAAAAACAAACAAAAAAAGAGACCTTGGGTGGGGCGTAGTGGCTGACGCCTGTAATCCCAGCACTTTGGGAGGCCGAGGCGGGTGGATCACGAGGTCAAGAGATCGAGACCATCCTGGTCAACATACTGAAACCCCGTCTCTACTAAAAATACAAAAATTAGCTGGGCATGGTGGCACGTGCCTGTAATCCCAGCTACTCAGGAGGCTGAGGCGAATTGCCTGAACCCAGGAGGCGGAGGTTGCGGTGAGCCGAGATCGCGCCATTGCACTCCAGCCTGGGTAACAAGAGCGAAACTCCGTCTCAAACAAAAACAAAAACAAAAAAAGAGACCTTACTCTTCACTGCCCAGCTCGTCCGTGAGCCTCCCCGACCGATCCTTTGGCCCCAAGAAACCAGATCCTTCTGCTGTGTACTCTGAGGGCCCCTCACTTGGTGGGGGCATCCACAAACCTCTCGCAGGGCAGGTGGAGGCGTGGGCCAGGACGTGTCCAGGACATTCCGGGGCAGCTGCCGTCGCAGGCTTAGCAGAAAAGAGGTGCGCACGTGGTCCAGGAAGAAGGAGTTCTCGGGGCAGCGCGGAGCGTGGCGCAGGATGAAGCCTCGGATGAGCCTGGGTGGGGCCAGATGGGGCGGTGGTGAGGGGCCTGGTGCAACCCCCTCAGGCCCTGCTCTGCAGCCCCCACGTGCACCCTGGCGCTCACCGTCGGATGGTCTGCGCGGCCCACTTCCTCTTGGCTGCCTTCCTCCGGCCCAGCGTTCCACGCCACCATGACTGGATGCAGATGGCTGTGGAGAGGCACCAGATGGCTGACCTCCATCTTCTCACCACCGGATCCCACCCCAGACCCCGCCCCTCTCGAACACCCACGGGGCCACGAACCCGATCGCTTAGCCCTGAGGAATTTCTGCCGCCAGTGAAAGCCCCTCCAGGCAGCCTGGATCTTGGTGGCTGTGTTGGAAAAGAAAGGCAATTGGCCAGAGCACAGGGAGCCAGCAGGGAGCTGGGCGGAGTCTGCGCTCCAAGTGTGGCAAGACTGTGAGAAGGGAGGAAGCTGGAAGAGACGTGAAGGAGAATGAATGTGACTTCCCTATTCCCCAGAACAGACCCCAGTGTGTGTAGGGGGGTGTTCCTCTTTTTTTGTTTTTTGAGACAGAGTTCTCTCTGCAACCTCCGTCTCCTGGGTTCAAGCGATTCTCCTGCCTCAGTGTCTCAAGTAGCTGGGATTACAGGCATGCACCACCTTGCCTGGCCAACTTTTCTATTTTTAGTAGAGACGGGGTTTTGCCATGTTGGCCAGGCCAGTCTTGAACTCCTGACCTCAGGTGATCTGCCTGCCTCAGCCTCCCAAGGCGCTGGGATTACATGCATGAAGCACTGTGCCTCTGGCTTTTTCTTCTTCTTTTTTTTTTTTTTTTGAGATAGAGTCTTGCTCTGTTGCCCAGGCTATAGTACAGTGGTGCGATCTTGGGTCACTGCAACCTCTGCCTCCCGGATTCAAGCAATTCTCCTGCCTCAGCATCTCAAGTAGCTGAGATTACAGGTGTGAACCACCACAGCCAGCTAATTTTGTATTTTTAGTAGAGACAGGGTTTCTCCACGTTGGTCAGGCTGGTCTCAAACTCCTGATGATCCGCCTGCCTTGGCCTCTCAAAGTTCTGGGATTACAGGCATGAGCCACCACACCTGGCCGCCTCTCTCTTACCCAGGCTCTGCCGCCGGAGCTCCAGGGCATCCTCTGTGGCAAACAGGGTCTTGGGGAAGCGGATGAAGATCTTGGTCCTGGGAGAGCAGCAGTGATGAGCCCTGGGTTGCCACCCCTCCCCCGTCCACCAGGCACAGGCACCACTCACCTGCCCATCTTATACTCTTCTGGCTTGTAGCCCAGGTGCCGCACCAGCACAGCCACTCCATCCTGCGGCCGTCCTGCCCACGAGGGCCACGTCTCTGGGCACAGTGACTTGTATCTGGGGACAGGAAGAGGGGGAATGCACACAGCCCCACCCCAGGCAACAACCTGCTCTGGGGACCTGCTAGGTGCTCCCACAGACTCGTTCACAGATCGCAGGGGGCTCACTGGGTCACTGCCCCCATTTTCTTTTTTTTTCTTTTTTGAGATGGAGTCTCATTCTGCTGCCCAGGCTGGAGTGCAGTGGCGCTATCTCAGCTCACTGCAACCTCTGCCTCCTGGGTTCAAGCGATTCTCCTGCCTCATCCTCCTGAGCAGCTGGGATTATGAGCATGTGCCACCATGCCTATGTGTTTTTTTTTTTTTTTTCCTTTGTTCCCTGTGAAAAATTTTGTGTTTTTAGTAAAGACGGGGTTTCTCCATGCTGGTCAAGCTGGTCTCCAACTCTCGACCTCAGGTGATCTGCCTGCCTCAGCCTCCTAAAGTGCTGGGATGACAGGTGTGAGCCACCTCACCCTGCCATTCCCTGTTTTAAAGATGAGAAAACCATTGCCTACCCAAGGCCAGGAGACTAAAAGTGGCAGAGATGGAATTCACACCGATTGAAGCCCGGGCCCCAGCTCAGAACCACAAAGCTGCTCCACCCTTTTTGAGCTCCTTGGAAGCTGCCTACAAGGCTTGCTACCGTCGCTTCTGGTGCCGGCGCGTGGGTCAGACCTCAGGTACCCCAACCAGGTGCTCCTGCAGGGCACGGCCTAGGGGACCGGCCAGGTGTTCTTTCCACCAAAGGCTCCCGGTGCGAGTCCCACAGCGGCCCAGGGCCCCTCATCCACATTCTAAAATGGGGCCCAGGGGTTCCTTCCCTCCTGCGCCCCGCCCCCGGCGCCCAGCGGGACCCGTCCCGACCTTTGCAGGAAAGCTTCGTATTTGCGGCGATAGGCGAAGCCGGCTCTGCGCACGCGCAGGTTCTCCATCAGCCCCAGGTACTTCACCTGGTGCCGGATCAGCACCTCGTCAAAGCGGCCTGGGACGGGGTGGGGGGGCGGTCAGCGGGCTGGCGGAGGGGGAGGGGGTCAGCGGACTGGGGAGGGGGTGATCAGTGGCCGGCGCTGACTGCCTGTCGCCTGTAGGGGACGCTGGGCTAAAGTCCCCAGCGGGAGAGGCCTACCGGGCTGCTTGGCGTCGTTGGGCTTGATGCAGCGGACATAGGCCGGCTCCTTAGACTGCAGGATCTCCACCAGCTGCAGGAGGCTCATCTTGAACTGGGTGGCGACCTGGGAGGCCAGGAGGCAAGGAAGCTTGGCCAGAGCTGGGCTAAAGCTCATGACCCCAGCAGCGAGTACCCCACTCCCCCAGCTGCGGACCCAAGCGGCAGCCCCTAACTCCGCCTGGCCTTATTCCTCCCACCACACCTTCCATGCAGCAAAGGAAGGGGCCAGACTCCACCCGAGATCCCTCTGGCTGAGCAAGGGACCTCGGCTTACAGCCGCGCTCCAGCCTCACACTCCTGCTCAGGTCTCCCAGCAACCCCAGTGAGATGGCTCCCTTCTTTTTTTTCTAGAAATCCAGGGCTGCATTCCCAAACAGCGTGTCCCATGCTAGGCATTCGGCTGTGATCAGGGTAAACTGCTCTGCGGACCCGGAAGATCTCAGGCCAGGGGGAGAAACACTTAGCAAAGACCCACAACCCCGGGCGGCCGGTGAATAAACAGGTGTATCCCTGGGGGTTCTGAGAGCGCCAGAAAGGGACAACGCATCCAGTCCAAGGAGCAGGGAGCATCAGGAGAGTCTTCTGGACGTTACGGGATGAGGGGGAGGGCCGGCGCGGTGGCTCACGCCTGTAATCCCACCAGGAAGGAGCCAGAGCTGAGGGAAGTTGCTGAGAAGGACTCAAGCAAGATCCAGTGGCTGGATGAAGGAGGCAGGAGAGTAGAGAACCAGGGAGCCGGTCGCGGTGGCTCACGCCTGTCATCCCAGCACTGTGGGAGGCCAAGGTGGGCGAATCACCTGAGGTCAGGAGTTTGAGACCAGCCTGGCCAACATGGCAAAACTGTGTCTCTACAAAAATAGAAAAATTAGCCAGGCATGATGGCAGGTGCCTATAATCCCAGCTACTCGGGAGGCTGAGGCAGAAGAATCTCTTGAACCTGGGAGGTGGAGGTTGCAGTCAGCTGAGATCGCACCACTGCACTCCAGCCTGGGCAACAGAGCAAGACTCTGTCTCAAAAAAAAAAAAAAAAAAAAGGACCAGGATGACACCCAGGTTTCTGGCTTGGGCTACTGGTTGGAGAGTAATCCCTGTCCTGAGTTAAGGACAGAGAAGGAGGAAGTCTGGAGAAGAGACCAAGGGCCTGTCTGTTATAGAACAGTGGGGTCCAGGGTGCCTGAGGCCATGTGGGGAGAGAAGAGATACAGGATTCGCAGCTTGCTGGAAAGGCCTGGGCCGGAGGGGTGTGCAGGCATCCTCAGCAGGTAGACGCTAGCGCAAGGTGGATGTGGGCACTTTGGGAGATGGTGGGGTGGACAGCAGTGGCGGGCAGGGCCCCGGGAGCCAGACCGCGGGTGGCATGGCGCCTACATGCCCTCCCTGGTGAGCAGTCTGGCCCCCACCTCCCAGCCGACCAACAGACCCCACTCTGGCCTCCACCTCCCTGCAGACTGACCGACCCCGCTCTTCCTGGGGCTGCCCTGATCCTCTCCTTGCCAAGCCCAAACACAGCCCTCCGCCCCCAGCTCGCTGGAGCTCTCCCTGCCTCTGGCACCTTGGCCATGCCTGCCCTTCCCAGTCCCTCTCCTTGACGCCATCACTTTCCGGCGCAGCTCCTGACCTTTTCAAACTCTCTGATTGTCTGGGTTGGGCCCTCACTATAGGTTCATCTGACATGCTCAAGTGATAGCCAATGCTCCCTCCTCCAAGGAGCCTCCCAGCCCTCACCCCTTCCGCCCCCGAGGCCATCTGCTGTTCCTCTTCTAAGTTTGCAGAGCACCCTGTGCACGTGGCTGCAGGTGCACCCCCCTGTGCCTGGCAGCGTCTGCTATAAATGTCGGCTGAGTGGGTGGACATGAGAGTGCCCACACAGAGGCAGGTGTCAACATACGGACACCCACACGGAGACAGGAACACACACAGATTCCCCTCCAGGCACAGCCCCCCTGACTTAAGAGACAGAGCCCCACTACAGACACAGCACACGCAGAAGCAGACAGACAGGGTCGGGCGCCGAGGCTCACGCCTGTAATCCCAGCACTTTGGGAGGCCAAGGTGGGCGGATCACCTGAGGTCAGGAGATCAAGACCAGCCTGGCCAACATGGGGAAACCTTGTCTCTATTAAAAATATAAAAACTTAGCCAGGCGTGGTGGTGCGAGGCTGTAATCTCAGCTACTTGGGAGGCTGAGGCAGGAGAATCGCTTGAACCCAGGAGGCAGAGGTTGCAGTGAGCTGAGATTGTGCCATTGCACTCCAGCCTGGGTGACAGAGCGAGACTCAGCCTCAAAAAAAAAGAAAAAAAAAAGGGACAGGCAAAGAGGAACCTAGAAGCAGCCCCCTAGACACTCCCAGACGTGCACACAGGCACAGACACGGGCTCGCTCGCACGCATGCTGCCAGCTCCCAAGCTCGCTCAGCCCTCACCCACGCCCGGCCCCACCCCTCCTCACGGTCTCTGGCCGCTTCTTGTCACTGAGCTCGCTCCGGTCGAAGCACTGGCTCATAATGGGATTCTTCGAGCTGCACATGGTCTGTGTGGCAGAGCCGGGGTTCTTAGCAGGCTGGGGCACAGGGACAGGCCCCTGGACACAGGTGCAGAGCTGTGGGCGACCTCCCTCCTGCTCGGCCACCACCGCAGGTCCCCCTCACCTCCTTCAGGTTCCGGAAGAGAAGGTCATTGTTTTTGTCCAGAAACCCTGGGAGGGGAGAGCACGTGTAAGGTGAGACAGAGCCTCCCTGCGGCCCCCGTGGGGACCCAGCCCAGGATCCTCACCGGTCACGCTGTAGGTCACCTCCCCAGCGTAGTGCAGAAGGCGGAATTCCCCTCGGCCCAGAGATTTCCTGGTCCGCTGGTCAGCCAGCTTGTGCCTGGGGTGATGGGGAGGAAGCTGCAGGTGGCCGAGCTGCAGGAGGGACCTCGGGAGTGGGAGCCAGCCACCCAGCAAAGATAGGTGCACCCAGGGCTGGGTCGCAACCCCTGTGCCGTGTGGGAGGCCAGGCAGGGCCAGCAGCCTCCCCCAGCAGAGCTGACCACAGTGGGTCAGAGAGGGAGACGGCCTTGCCCAGGGCCAAAGAGCACCAGGACCAGGGCCTGGGCCTCCCGACCACCAGGGCTGCTGCCGGGAGGGAGATTCTTGCTGCTTCGGGCTCTGCTCGAAAGGGGGTGGGGAGCTGCCTGCTGCTTTTCAGAATGGAATCTGCCACCTGGAGAGAGTACTTAAGTCTGAGGCGTGTTTATACCCTTTGGTCCATTTACTACTTTTAAGAACTATTCCAAGGCCGGGCGCGGTGGCTCACGCCTGTAATCCCAGCACTTTGGAAGGCCAAGGTGGGTGGATCACGAGGTCAAGAGATCGAGACCATCCTGGTCAACATGGTGAAACCCCGTCTCTACTAAAAATACAAAAAAAAAGAAAATTAGCTGGGCATGGTGGCGCGTGCCCGTAATCCCAGCTACTCGGGAGGCTGAGGCAGGAGAACTGCCTGAACCCAGGAGGCGGAGGTTGCGGTGAGCTGAGATTGCATCCTTGCACTCCAGCCTGGGTAACAAGAGCGAAACTCCGTCTCAAAAAACAAAAACAAAAAGAACTATTCCAGGCAATTATCATAGAATTGTGGAGATGGGTGGTAGCCTTGAGATTCCAGCAGAAACCTGGGGTTGGCCGGGCCCCGAAAGGCCGGGGGGAAAGGGGAGTGTGTGGGTCAGAGCCGAGGCAGGAAGGGTTTTGAGGAAACTTTATGTTTGATGCTGCAGGAAAACACTCAGGATACAGCATCGCCCTGAGCCTTATACACAATAAGTTCCCGACTACAGAAAAAAACGTATAGAAAAAGGCCGGAGGGAAATGCCTGGCGCTGTTGACAGCCATGGACCACGGCCGACAGGCTCACGGGGCTTTTGCGAACATTCTAATGCTTCTCCAACGAGCAGGATCATTTTTATAACCAGAAACAAGTTTTCTATTATTTAATGAATCACACGGCCCCCAAACCAGCATAGATTGAGATACTCCCAGAAACAAGCTTTTCCCATTTTGAGACAGAGTCTCACTCTGCCACCCAGGCTGGTGTGCAGTGGTGCTATCTCAGCTCACTGCAACCTCTACCTCCTGGGTTCAAGTGATCCTCCTGCCTCAGTCTCCCAAGTACCTCGGATGACAGGTGCGCGCCACCACACCTGACCAGTTTTTGTACTTTTAGTAGAGATGGGGTTTCACTTATGTTGCCCAGTGAACTGATCTGAGGTGATCCGCCCGCCTTGGCCTCCCAAACTGCTGGGATTACAGGCGTGAGCCATCACACCTGGCCAGAAACAAGTCTAATATATTATTATGCAAAAAAAATAGTATGGCTTTGGCATTCAACAGCCTTGGGCCTGAGCCCAGCTCAGCAACCCAGATGAGAGATGACCTGGGGAAAGGACTTCCCCATGGAGTCTTGGTGAGATGCAGGAACAGCAGGACAGCTCCCCACAGAGCGGCTCAGGTGCGGCAATGAGGCACGCACGGAACGCCCGGCCGCGCTAGCCCCAGCCGCTGGTTCCTGTTTCTACCTCTCCCCACTTTAGGGGATTCCTTCAATAAAAAGCAATTTCCAAATAAGGAAGCTAAAAAAATCTCATCAAGTTTCATTCTCAAAAAAGAATAGGGAGGAAAGCAAGCTACCAGCGTCGTTTTTTTTGTTTGTTTGTTTGTTTTTTTGAGACGGCGTTTCACTCGTTACCCAGGCTGGAGTGCAATGGCGCGATCTTGGCTCACTGCAACCTCCGCCTCCTGGGTTCAAGCAATTCTCCTGCCTCAGCCTCCTGAGTAGCTGGGATTACAGGCACGCGCCACCATGCCCAGCTAATTTTTTGTATTTTTAGTAGAGACGGGGTTTCACCATGTTGACCAGGATGGTCTCAATCTCTTGACCTCGTGATCCACCCTTCTCAGCCTCCCAAAGTGCTGGGATTAAAGGCGTGAGCCACCACGCCAGTCCTTTTTTTTTTTGGAGACAGAGTTTTGTTCTCCTTGCCCAGGCTGGAGTGCCGTGGTGCGACCTTGACTCACTGCAACCTCTACCTCCTGGTTTCAGGTGATTCTCCTGCCTTAGCCTCTTGAGTAGCTGGGACTACAGGTGTGAGCTACCACACCCAGCTAATTTTTGTATTTTTAGTAGAGACAGGGTTTACGTTAGCCAGGCTGGTCTTCAACTCCTGACCTCAAAAAGATCCACCCTTTCGGCTTCCCAAAGTGCTGTGATGACAGGTGTGACCACGCGTCCAGCTGTCTTTTGCAGTTTTTGAGATGGGATCTCGCTCTGTGGCTGAGGCTGGAGGTGGATCGATCCTCGCTCTGCAGCCTCAAACTCAGGGCTCAAGGGAAGCTGTGGCCCCAGCCTCCTGTGCAGGTGAGACTCCAGGCGTTCAGTGTGCCTGGCTAAGCTTCCGTTTCTGGGTGCCTGTGAGGGGTCCTTAGCTCGGCACCTTCCCTGGACACCCCCCTGCGGCCCTGAGGGACGCCTGCGCTCCATAGGCTCTGCCCCATGGGAGCCTTGCTCCAGCCACCCACAGCCCCACTCACGTCAGGAAGTGCGGGTGGTGCTTAACGGTGTCCTCCAGCTTCTCCAGGAACGTCAGGTCTGTGGCCTCGCCAGGGCGCAGACACTCCTCATCCTGGGGGGTGTGGCACAGGGAAGGGATGTGTGGGGGTGGGGCTGGAGAGCAGAGAAGATGGGGGCACCGTGCTGGGAGGCACAGACACAGGGAGGGGTGGATCTGCAGGGGGCCTCGGCAGGGAGCTTCCAACCCTGGCAGCGACTCCCTCCGTCCTCCCTTCACAGCCCGGCCAGGCCCTGACCCCGGCCCTCTGTGGGCCAGCCCGGAGAGGAAGGAGAAAAGGGGCTTGGAGGACTCCCCCCACCCAGCCCCCAGCCTGGAGGAGTGGAGGGCTCACCAGAATGGAGATGATGCCCTTGAACTTCTCCTCCACCAGATCGCAGATGACCTTGTTGTTGAAATACAGGACAGGCTCCCACTGAGGGGGACAGGGAAGGAGGCGTCACTGTGGGGGCCCAGCACCCTCCCGGCAGGCTGTGCCCACGGAGAGCGCCCTCAGGTTGCACGCACCGCAATGCCCTCGGCCTCATACTCCTCCTGCTCCGACTTCAGCGTGAGCTCGATGAACAGCTGCTGTAGCTTCTCGTTGCAGTAATTGATGCAGAACTGCTCAAAGCTGTGAGGACAGAAAAGAGCCCAGCGAGGCTCAGAGGGCACAGAGGACCAGGAGGGGCGGAAGGCAGGACGGGCCCCTGAGCACAGATGGTACAAAACACAGAGCCGGCCTCTGGCTGGCTGGGCAATCCCAGAGCAAGAATCAGAGGCTGGGGGACAGAAGAGAGGGGCCAGGCCAGGAGACCCGGGAGGAGGGCAGGCCAGGGGAAGGTGGCACCGACCTGTTGTGCTGAAACACTTCGAAGCCGTAAATATCCAGCAGCCCGAGGACGGTGGTGCTCCGCCAGCTGGGGCTGTCCGTGTCCTAGGGCAGTCATCCAACCAAAGACGTGGCCCCAGCGGTGTCTGCCAGCGCACCCACAGCCCTGGCCCCGCCTCCACCTCCCTCCCACCTCGGAGCAGGCCGGACCCAGCCCTCACCTTGGAGGCCAGTGACCTGTTGATCTTCTCGACCAGCCAGCTGAAGGTGCGGCTGTACACTGCCTTGGCAAGGGCGTCCCGCGCGTAGGCGGCCTGCTCCAGGTTCAGCGGGCTCAGGAGCTGGGGGCGAGGCATGAGGCGGGGAGAGGAACACCACCGAGCCGGTGCACCCCGCCTCCCGCAGGCTCAGGCAGAAGACCAGGGAGCCTGCGGGGCGGGGAGGGGTGCTGGCAGCAGGACCCCAGTGGGAAGGTGTGGAGGGACAAGAGGACTCATTCCCAAGGCGAAAGTCTGCTGCTGTCTTCCTGTGTGACTCTGGCCAGCTCACTGTGATTCATTTTCGTTTGAGAGTCTGGCTCTGTCGCCCAGGCTGGAGTGCAGTGGTGCAATCTCAGCTCACTGCAACCTCCACCTGCCAGGTTCAAGCGATTCTCCTGCCTCAGCCTCCCAAGTAGCTGGGATTACAGGCATGCACCACCACGACCAGCTAATTTTTGTATTTTTAGTAGAGACAGGGTTTCTTTTTTTTTTCTATTTATTTTTTTAAAGATGGGGTTTCACCATGATGGCCAGGCTGGTCTTGGACACCTGACCTCAGGTGATCCACCCACCTCGACCTCCCAAAGTACTAGGATTACAGGCATGAGCCACCGCGCCCGGCTGAGACAGGGTTTCACTATGTTGGCCAGGCTGGTCTCGAACTCCTAACCTCAGGTGATCCACCCGCCTCGGTCTCCCAAAGTGCTGGGATGACAGGTGTGAGCCACTGTGCCCGGCTCTCACTCTGCTTCTCTGGGCTGCCTTCCTTATGTCCCTCCAGCACCGCTGAGGGGATCCGGGGAGCAGACCGGGAAGGGGAGTGATGGGAGTGGGGGGTGCCCTGGAGCACCTGCACCTCCACACCCGAAGCAAAGGCCTGGCCTCACTTCTTCCCCCTCGCCCCCTCCCCGCCTCTTCCCCCTCTCCCCCCTCACCTCCTCCCCCTTGGCGATGATCTTCCTGTGTGTCAGGGCTTCTCGCAGCGTTGAGCCGTCCACACTGAGGAGCTGCGGAGGGCAGAGGGTGAGGGTGAGTGAGGGTGCACCCCCGCCCCCACCATCCCCCCTGCCCCCACCATCCTCGCCCCGCCCCCACCATTCCCCCCCCGCCCCCACCATCCTCCCCTCCCTGCCCTCTGCCCGCCCCACTCACCCTGGTCAAATACTTGAGCTGGTTCTCGGTGGTGACCTGGGCATTGCTCTCCTCGTCGGCAGCAAAGTGGATGTTGCCTAAATGCAGGACGCTGGCCACGATACTCAGCAGGTCCTGGGGGAGCAGGCCGGGGGCGGGTGGGGTGAGCGGGGCCAGAAAGCCTCAGGAGGGCAACCAGCGACGGTCACGCAGGGGTGAGGGGAGGGTCTGAGAGGAGAAGGGGCTGAAGTGGGAAAGGGTGTTAAAGGTAGAAGGTAACTCTGGGGGTCTGGGCGCGGGGCCTCAGACCTGACATCCCAGCACTTTCGCAGGTCGAGGCGGGCAGGTCATCTGAGGTCAGGAGTTCGAGACCAGCCTGGCCAACATGGTGAAAGCCCGCTTTTACTAAAAGTACAAAAATCAGCTGGGCGAGGTGGCGGGTGCCTGCAGTCCCAGCTACTTGGGAGGCTGAGGCCGGAGAATCCCCCGAACCTGGAGGCGGAAGCTGCAGTGAGCCGAGACTGCGCCACTGCACTCCAGCCCGGCTGACAGAGTGGGACTCCATCTCAAGAGAAGAAAGGTGACGTGGGGTGCGGCAGGAGGAAAGGGGGTCCCGGAAGAGGCCTCACCTCCACCTCGTCCTCCGTGAAGTCGATGACCGTCAGGGCCTTGTGCACGACCTTCCAGTCGCTCTTGTCATTGATGGAGGACACTTTGGCACACTGGCCCTGGAGGAAGGCACAGCTGGGTGGCCAGCCCTGGTGCCAGACCCCTGGATGGCACCTGCCCTGCCTGCCAGCCACTCACCTTCACCAGGTACAGGTAGCTCTGCGGGTTCCGCTCCAAGCCCAGCCTGCGAAGCGTCTCCTCCTCGCCGCCCTCCAGCAGCTGGTAGAAGATGTGGAAGTTCCGCTCCCCGTGGTTCTGGTGCACCACTCGGGACTTTTCCAGGAGGTAACTGAGGATGTGGCCGCCCACGGGGGCACCCTGTGGGCAGGGCAGGGCATGGGGCCTGGTCAGGGGGACCAAGGAAAAGGCCCTCTTCCCTCCTGCACTCCTGGCCCTTGCTGTCAGCCAGACCTGGGCTCCAGTTCTAGCCCTGTCACAAGCTGTGTGGTTCAGGCATGCCACCCATGCTGGACTCAGCTACTTCATCTAGGAAAAGGGGACACGCCAGTCCGTCCACCTGGCAGCTCCGCCCGGATGCCTGACGGGCACCCCAAATTCAACAGGCCTGAAACGGAACACCTCACCCTCCCGTCAGCGCCTGCCCGTTGTGGCCAGTGGTGGCCACATCCTTCTCACTGCTCAAGCCAAGCCCTTGGCCGTCCTCCTGGAAGCCTGTTTTCCTTTCGGACTCTACGTCCCCATCAGGCAGCTGATCCTGCTGCCTTAACCTTTAAAACATCCAGAATCACCGCTTCACTGCACCACACTGGCCTGAGCCACCGTCACCTCCACGATAACATCAGCCTCCTAACCGGTTTCCCCGCTTAGTCTGCTTCCCCCCCACCCCCGTCCATTCATCTGCTGCTCCCAATCTCCCAAAGAAGCAGCCACGGTGATTTTTGGAGACAAGGTCTTGCTCCGTCGCCCAGGCTGGAGCGCAGTGGTGCAATCACAGCTCACAGCAGCCTACACTGCCTGGGCTCAAGCCATCCTCCCACCTCAGCCTCCCGAGTCGCTGGGATCACAGGTGCACAATGGCACGCCCAGCTAATTTTTTTTTAGATAGAATGTAGCATTGTCACCTGGGCTGGAGTGCAATGGCGCCATCTTGGCTCACTGCAACCTCCGCCTCCTGGGTTCAAGCAATTCTCCTGCCTCAGCCTACTGAGTAGCTGAGATTACAGGCGTCCACCATGCTCCACTAATTTTTTTTTTTTTTTTTTTTTGAGACGGAGTTTCGCTCTTGTTACCCAGGCTGGAGTGCAATGGTGCGATCTCGGCTCACCGCAACCTCCGCCTCCTGGGTTCAGGCAATTCTCCTGCCTCAGCCTCCTGAGTAGCTGGGATTACAGGCACGCGCCACCATGCCCAGCTAATTTTTTGTATTTTTAGTAGAGACGGGGTTTCACCATGTTGACCAGGATGGTCTCGATCTCTCGACCTCGTGATCCACCCGCCTTGGTCTCCCAAAGTGCTGGGATTACAGGCTTGAGCCACCGCGCCCGGCCTATTTTTAATTTTTTTAGAGACAGTCTCACTCTGTCGCCCACGCTGGAGTACAGTGACGTGATCACAGTTTAGGGTAACCTCAGACTCCTGGCCTCATGCGACCCTCCCGCCTCAGCCTCCAGAGTAGCTGGGACAACAGACAGGTGCCACCCCGCCCAGCTGTCAGGCCTTCATTAAAACGCCACTTTCTCAGTGAGGCTCACCCTATCCCAACCGGAAAGGAAACTGCCCCTACTGTGTCCTGCGGTTCATTTTCTGCCAAGCTCTACATTTCTCTGTTTACTGTCTATCACCCTGGGAGGCAGGATTCTTGGAATTCCAGCACCTGGAATGGTCCCTGGTACACAGTAGGCACTTCACACCTAATGGGAGCCTCTCACAGCAGACGCATCGCTGTACCTTGAAGTCAAACTGCACATCCATGTACTTCCCGAACCTGCTGGAGTTATCGTTCCGGAGGGTCTTGGCGTTTCCAAAGGCCTAGGAGTGGACGGGGTATGAGGGATGCCTGCATTCTCTCCCGGCCATCGCCAACGTGCCCTGCAGCCACTGCTGCCCTCACCTCCTGCACTGGGATTCCCTCTGCTCCTCCCGCCCTCACCTCCGGCACCGGCCTCCCTCCTCTCCTCCCGCCCTCACCTCCGGCACCGGCCTCCCTCCTCTCCTCCTGCCCTCACCTCCAGGACGGGGTTGCTCTGCAGCAGCCGGTCCCGCACTGCACCTCCACGCTCTGGCGCTGGGCAGGTCTCCGCGTAGAACTGCAGCAGCCTCTTGGTGGCCTCCGTCTTGCCTGCCCCGCTCTCCCCCGAGATCATCACCGCCTGGTCCCGCCGCTCTGTGCGCAGTGCTCGGTACACGGTGTCGGCCACGGCAAACCTGGGGCACAGGCTCGTCAGGCAGATCCGGGACGGGGGCATGCGGAGGGCCGCAGGGAGGCCCACTCCCACCCCTGGTGGCGTCCTCAAGGGTGGGGTCAAGCACATCTTTGAGGACGGGGACTGGGCTGTGTGGGTCAGAGATGCCTCACGGTTGAGGGCGGGCATCGCTTTCAAAGGGAGGACGGGACCCTGCGCAGGCGGAGTCTGCGGTGCTCAAGTGGAGGCGAGAGTCACTTGCAGGGACACCTGGGAGGGCTTTGTAGGTGGGGTTCAGAAGTCGCTGAGATTGGGGGCCACTCCCGGTTGTGGGAGAAGTCACAGGTGTGAGCGGGGATAGGACTGGGTCCCACCCAGAGAGAGTTGAGCCGTCACATTCATCTCTGGTCACTCGGGTGGGAAATCCCAGGATTCCTCACAGATGCCAAGTCACCTCGGATGGCATGGGGTCACTCACAGGTGAGGGGGACTTCGGGGTCACTCACAGGTGAGGGGGACTTAGGGGTCACTCACAGGTGAGGGGGGACTTCGGGGTCACTCACAGGTGAGGGGGGACTTCATAGAAGCTGACGCCGCGGTACCGTTCCATGTGCTGCCGGCTGTAGATCTGCAGGTCCCGGTAGGGGTTGACGGAGACCAGGACGGGGCCGATGTAGGTCTGGGGTCAGGCGAAGAGGGCCAGACGCTGATCCGCTGACCCGGGTGCCTCCCTCCCACCACCCCGTCTGTGCCCCCAGCCCCCCGCCGGCCTCCCCAGCAGCCTCACATAGATGAGGTTCTCCCGGAATCGCCGCCGCAGGTTCTCGATGAAGGCGGCCTCGCTGGTGAAGTTCTCCAGCAGCACGAAGTCCTGCACCCCCACCCGGTCCCGGGCGGTCAGCCCGCTCTCCATGGTCACCCGAACCCCGTCACTGCCCAGGGCCTGCAGAGAATGGGCCACGGTAGAGGGTCAGAGCCATCAGGGTGGGGCAAGGCCACGTCTCCACTGCACCTGCGGGACTGGGAGGGAACTCGGGGGCTTGTGGACTCAGGGCTGGACATGGGGTGTGAGGATGCCGGGTTCGGAGGGCCTGGGTGTGGGGGTGCGGGGGTGCAGGTGCAGAAGGAGTGGGTGAGGAAGGAGTGGGTGTGGGGGGGCGTGGGTGCACAGGGTCTGGGTGTGGGGGGCATGGGTGTGAAGGGTCTGGGTTCCAGGTCATGGATGCAGAGAGTCTGGGTGCGGGGGGCCTGGGTTCCAGTGTGGAAGCAAAGGGATCGCCAAGGATGTGAGCATCCAGAGCAGAGACCACACAGGCCACGACACACACGGGACCAGAGGACTCCGGGGCAAGGCCGAAGAACCTGGGAGGCGCTGGTTTTGGGTGGAGAAAGCGGGGTCGCAAGAAGGAACTGCTTAAAGAATGCTCTGTTGACTTTGGGCTAATCCCCTCCTCTCTCTGGGTGGTTTCCTCCTCAAGGAGGAGTTGAGTTAGACCAGGTGACCTCAGGTCCCTTAGCTCTGAGCCACATGTGACAGGTGCTTTGGAGGACAAATGGCTCAGGGTGAATTCTGCAGGCAGGGTGGGGCCTCTTCTCCGCCGGAACCCACCCACATGTCCACAGCAGAGCAACAAGTGACTCCCAGATCACAGCACGGGGCTTCCCCGAGGGCCTCCCGCCTCCGCGGGGCTCAGCTGCCCACTCCAGAAGGCAGCCAGAGTGAGCCGGGTGGGCCCCTCCCTTCCCTCCAGCTGCTGGGCTCCCCAGGCGCCTCCTTCACGGAGTCCTGAGAAGCCTCAGGGGTGGGGGTTTTCCCAGGCGAAGCCAGCGGCCTCTGGGTCCTACTGGAGGGTGAGCGGGCTACAGGCCCCGCATCCAGGGCTGAGATCCCCCTTCAAAGAGGGTCTGACGGCTCCAGGAAACGGACACCCAGAGTGTCCAGGCTCAGAGAAGCGCAGGGTGGAGGCTCCTCGAGGTGGGGGAACCCCGCAGAGGCCTCGGGTCTCCTCTGACCGCGAAGGGCCCAGATCCTGGCCTGGGGCGTCGCTCGGGCCCGGCTCCAATCCCGCCCCAAATCCGGCCGCAGTCCCGCCCCTCGCCCTCGGGTCGGGGGTCTCCGCGTCCTCAGAAGCCCCCGCAGCGCCGCATCCCGTCCCAGGTCCGAGCGTCCCGCGCACCCTCCCGCCGCGGCCTCCTCCCCCGGCAACTTCCCGGGACGTTTTTCCACCCGGAATTCCCAGGCCGCGCCCGCTTCCTGGCAAGGCCGAGGCGGCGCCGCGGGGCGGAAAGGGGCGCCCGGGACCCCCGTTCGCCGCCCCCCTGCTCACCGACGCCCGGTAGCGCATCCTGCCCCGCCGGCCTGGCGCCCGCTCCGCTGCCCGCGCTCTGGGTCCCGGGCTCGGCGGCGGCAGCGGAGGCGTCAGCGAGGGAGGGGCCGGACCGCCCCCCGCACCGCCCCCCCCACTCCCGCCCACGCCTCCCGCCTCCCGCCCACGCCTCCCGCGCGGCCCGGCCAGGTCTCCTCCAGGTGGGGGCGGGCTCGGTGGGGGGCCGGGGGGGGTTCTCGGGCCGGGGCGGGGCGGGGCAGGGCGGGGTCGGCCTGAGTCAGGTTTTCCAGGAGGGACGGTGTCGGTGCATGGGAGGAGCCCGGAACCCGCGCGGCCGCCGCGTCTACACCGACCCGGAACTCACTTTCCGGGCCTGGGACGAAGCTTCGCGGCGGGGCCGGGCCCCGAGGCCTGCGGGTCCCAGAGGAAGCAGATCTCCCTCCCCCAACCCCGAACTCCAGTCCCGGGAAAGTTAAAAATAGAACCAATGTCCAAATACGGCCGCGCGCCGGCGGGCGGAGCGTTTTCCGCGTGGGACCCCTTCCAACTCCCACGCGCGCCGGGCCGGGCGCGAGTCTTGAACCCAGGGAGATCGCCTCCTCAGCGCGGAGTGCGCGCCCCGGGGAGAGGGACGGCCACCGGGAGCCCCGGCAGAGCGCGCTGAGTCCCGGCCCTTCTGGAAACCGCAGTTCGCATCTGGGAGAGATTCGCGCTCCACTCCCACCAAAGGCATTTGGGGCCCACAGCCTCCACAGCCGGTACACCCCACTGGCCTCCGCCCTCCCTCCCGCTCTCCTCTGGAGGGACCTTCCCTGTTCCTCTGTACCCCTCGCGGCCCAGCCCAGGACGCCCCCGACCCAGCCTCGGCAGCCCCGCCCTCCTCCGCGGGGGGCGAACCCTGGCTCGGATCCCAGCGCGGGCGGGGCGGGGCGTCTACAGCAGGCCGGAGGCTCAGCGGGTTCTTCTCCGCTGGGGAACTGTGCCAGAGTCCCCAAAGTCACTTCACTTTTCCGCTCCAGGCCGAGGAGGGCCGCGGGGTGGGTGGCCTGAGCCCGAGCGAAGGGACCTCCCAGGCCCCCTGTAGACCCCGCCGCCCTCCCTCGGCCGGACACTCGGTCCTCACTTGCGGGCAGAGACCAACTAAGAGCCAAGCCCGGGGACACGCTTCCGATCTGGCGGGGAAACCTCGGGCGCGCACCTGCCCGGCGCCTGAACACAACGGCGGACACGGACTTGCCCTGGGGGGAGAAGCAGAGCCGGGACCCAAAGCCCCAGCGCGCCCCGCCCCGCCCCTGTCCGCAAAGCCGGCTCTCTGGGGAGAGCGCGAGGCCGCGGCAGGTGCGGGCTGTATCCCCACTGGGAAGGGGAGGCTCGTTACTGCAAGAGCAGCAGCCGGGCCGGAGCGGCGGCCCCGGGGACCCCCGAGCAGAGGCGTCAGCTGTGGGGCCGGGAACGAGGGGGATGGGGGCGCCTCGGACAATGTCGGGGGCGGGAGGCGCCCGCTGCGGTGTCCCTAGGTTTAAAATCCAGAGGGGGGGCCGGGCGCGGTGGCTCACGCCTGTCATCTCAGCACTTTGGGAGGCCGAGGCGGGCGGATCACCTGAGGTCAGGAGTTCAAGACTAGCCTGGGTAAAGTGACGAAAACCCCGTCTCAACTAAAAATACACAAATCAGCCGGGCGTTGTGGGGCGCCTGTAGTCCCAGCTACTTAGGAGACTGAGGCAGGAGAATGGCTTGAACCCGGGATGCAGAGGCTGCGGTGAGCCGAGATCGCGCCACTGCACTCCAGCCTGGGCGACAGAGCGAGACTCTCACAAAACAAAACAAAACAAAACAAAAATCCAGAGCGAGCAAGGAGAGGATCTAGGGGTGAGGAGCGCCTTAGCAGACTGGGTGGGGGCACAGGGTCGAGAGCCCCCGGCGGACGCTCCCTCCCCTCCCGGCGAGGCGTGGGGCGGGACCGTGGGGGCGGAGCCTCGCGGCCGCAGTCCCGCCCCCCCCACGTCACGCGGCTGGAATGAGGGGAATCCGCGCGCGGAGGGGCCGCGCTGCCGCATTCCCGGGATGCCCGCTGGCGCCCCCGCAGCCACCGCCCAGCGGCGGAAGGAGGGAGCGTCTCCACGGCGGCTCCAGCCCCAGCAGCCCCCGCCGGCCTGGCCTCACTGGACAGAAGCGCGAGTCGCGGCAGGGGAGGGAAGCGGGGAACCCGGGAGTGAAAGACGCCGCGACCTAGGCTGCAGCGCCAGGCGCTTCCCGCGTTCCCCGCGCTTTCTTAGGTTACTCCCTTCAGTGCCCCCAGCCAAGCCATGTGAGGTCTGTATTATCGCTCCAGTAGAGAAGAGGACACTGAGGCAGGTGACTTGTGCGATCCCAGTCTCAGGAGTGGGATTGGAACCCGGGAACTCGGACACCTTCCTGCAGGGCTGCCCGGAGCCTCTCTGTACAGTTGCCAGGGCTACCGGGGCGGTGACCTTCAGTAACAGCACAGGCCCCTGTTGGTGTACTGTGGTTCTGTTATGTCACCTGTAGGCCTTAAAGGTAGCAGCTGGGGAGTGGGCCCGGGCCTTTGGCTCCCTGCAGGCGAGGGCGCAGCCACGGCCCCGGTGACCTAGGAAGGAGCCTTTTCCCCCAAGGTTGCCTCAGTGTCGGTCTCCTCCCACCTGGGGATGTGTTTACTGGAACCGCAGGGGATGGGCTATCCAGTGACCTTCAGCTTATATAGGCCGGCGGGGGCCCACAAGCCTGACTGCTGGGAACAGCAGGAACCTCAAATGTTCCCCCAGCCTAGGGGCCACCCACACAGATCTTGCCGTGGGGTGGGGTATCATCTGAGCACCCAGAACTGCTGCTATAATCCCATGTCCAGAGCCCCCAGGTGGTACAAAGACAGCCATAGCCTGTCTCACGCTGGCACAGCATGGGCACAGAGCAAGGACTCAACGTGTATTTATCAAACGAATCTTAGATATGGGCCTTCCTGCCCACCAAGGACCGTTCCAGGCCTCAGGGAACTGTTGTGAAGGGAAATGGGGAGAAAGTGGCAACTCAGGGTCTCTACCCCGATGGCTCAGAGGGCCTCAGTCAGCGCTGTGCACTCTAGCTACACAACTACAGGGGCCTTTGGCTGCCAGACACCTCTGCCTGGGGCCGGGTGGGGGGATCCAGCAAACATGAACAGAGGCAAGGTGCAATGAGTGGCTCATGCCTGTAACCCCAGAACTTTTGAGAGGCCGAGGCAGGAGGGTTGTTTGAGGCCAGGAGTTCAAGACCAGCCTGGGCTGTCGTGAGACTCCTGCCTCTACCAAAAAGCTTTTTTAAAATTAGCCAGGCGTGGTACAGTGTGCCTGTGGTCCCAGCTACTCAGGAGGCTAAGGTGGGAGGATCCCTTGAGCCCAGGAGGTTGAGGCTGCAGTGAGCCCTGATGGTGCTATTGCACTCCAACCTGGGTGCCCCAGAAGACCCTGTCCAAAAAAAAAAAAAAAAAAAAAAAAAAAGTAGCCAGGCGCAGTGGCTCATGCCTGTAATTCCAGCACTTTGGGAGGCTGAGGCAGGAGGATCATGAGGTCAGGAGTTGCAGACCAGCCTGGCTGACATAGGGAAACCCCATCTCTACTAAAAATACAAAAAGTAGCCAGCCGTGGCAGCAGGCGCCTGTAATCCCAGCTGCTAGGGAGGCTGAGGCAGGAGAATCACTTGAACCTGGGAGGTGAAGGTTGCAGTGAGCCAAGATCACACCACTGCACTCCAGCCTGCGCAACAGAGTGAGACTGTTAAAAACAAAAACAAAAAACGGCTGGGCGTGGTGGCTCACGCCTGTAATCCAAGCACTTTGGAGGCCAAGGCAGGTGGATCACCTGAGGTCGGGAGTTCAAGACCAGCGTGACCAACATGGTGAAACCCCAAAGAGCAATAAACCCGTAACACCTTAACATAAAGTTGTAGGGGGAAAAAAACGACCCAGGCGAGGTGGCTCATGCCTGTCATCCCAGCACTTTGGGAGGCTGAGGTGGAAGGATCGCTTGAGGTCAGGAGTTCAAGACTCGCCTGGCTAACACAGTGAAACCCCATCTCAACTAAAAATACAAAAATTTGTGGGCTGTGGTGGTGAATGCTTGTAATCCCAGCTGCTTAGGAGGCTGACATAGGAGAATTGCTTGAACCTAGGAGGCAGAAGTTGCAGCGAGACGAGATCGTGCCACTGCACTCCCGCCTGGGCAGCAGAGCCAGACCCTGTAAAAAAAAAAAAAAAACAAAAAAGGAAACAGAGCTCCTGACCCCTAACTTTTACTCCTGTTCAATGTCCTTGCAGAGAGAAGGGCAGCACTTTCAGCTGGTCATCACCGCCTGGGTTAACAGGCATGCTCTCCACTCCCTACACCAAGTGGCCACGCCCCGCGAACGCCTCAGCTCCATCACTGCCCGTTTCCTGGCGGAGACGGCAGCCTCCTAACTGACCTCCTTGCCTTCCTACTACCAATCCATTTCCCCTCGGGCAATACAAATCACATCAACATCCCCTGTTCATAGAGTAAAGGTTTACAGGGCGCCCTCCATGTCCCAGGCCCACGATTCACAGCCGCTGCTTGTGGTCAGGACGCTGCCCATGAACTCCCGAGGCCCCTCCCCCCACCACGCAGTCCTCGGTTTACCCTACTGCTCCTGCATTCCGGTGTGACAGGCGGCCCTCTCAGTCCCTTCTCTCCCCACCCGCCCCTCCCACCCACCACTTGCAGCCTGCCCGAGCGTCAGGGCCTGGGCCTGCACCTGCGCCGCCCTCAGCCCCGGGCACTCCCCTCCCCACGCGCTGAGACTCGGCCCAGGTATCGCCTCCTCCAGAGTCCCTTCCTGATTCTCCCCGACGCGCGGCGCCTCCTTATCGCACCCAGCAGGAATTGACTGTTTCCTGGTGGGTCCCTCCCAGGAGGCTGCTGCCACCCCCTCCGCGCAGCCAGGCACCGGGCGGGGCTGGGTGACCCCTTCCTGGCCGCCTGGATGAATGAATGAATCTCAGGGCCCCGAGTGTGCGCGGGAGGCCGGGACGAGAGGAGCCGCGGGCGCCGTGGCCAGTCCCCTCCCGCCACTCTAGGGGCGCGCGGGGCCCCAGGGGCGGAGGAAGGGAAGGGGCGGGGTTCAGGCGGCTCCTCCGGAACCAGAGGCAGGGCCGGGCTGCAGGCGGGGCCCGAAGGGCTCCGGGTCTCGGGTCCCGGGTCCTGCATCCCGCCGCCCCGGCCGCTCTTCCCGGCTTCCCGCTCCCACGGGCGCTAAGTCTTCACCCGGCTGCGCCGGCGCTTCCGGGTCCCGGGACCCCTCCCGGGTCCATGCGGCCGCCGTTCCGCCCCAGCGATCGCGGCAGTGACCTCCGCTTCGCTCCCGGCCTGGGACCCCAGGCCCGCCTGCCGGCGGAGGCCTCCCGGGTCCTGCGCGCGCCGTCCCCACGCCCCGAGTACCCACCGGCTCGGCTCTTCCGGCGCGGGCGGGGCCGGGCTGGGCGGCGTGGCGGGCTCGGAATCCGCGGCCCGAGCGCGCTCTCCCCGCCCAGGGCTCGCCGGGGGCCGGGCCGCGGCCTGTCGTCATCCCGGGCAGGGCCTCGCGCCCTCTGGCCCCACCCCCCCCCGGCCGGGCCGCGACCGCGAAGCCTCGGTGCGAGCGGCCCCCGCCTTGGGCAGCTCCGGGCAGGCGCGTCCGGTCACTGCGAACACGCGCGCCCCACCCCCGCCGCGCTGCTGGGGCCGTGGGGGCGCCTGGCGTTCTCTGTCCTCCCGGCCCTTTGCCTCTCCAGCCCCTTCCCTGCGGGCCGGGGCAGGGCCGCTGCCCCTGTTTCCACCCGACCACCTCCCACACCGTCCCCCTGCGCTGAGTCCTGCGCGGCCCCAGCTCCGTGGACCAGAGCGGAGCGGGGCATGCACCGAGCCAGTCCCGCGTGCCTGGAGCTTTCCACGCCCTCCTCCTGCGACCTCACAGCAGCCCTCACTTGCGTTTGTGCCCAGCATTCACAGTTGTGCCCACCGAGGTTCAGGGAGCTGGAGAAGAGTCAAGTCCAGACCTCCTCTTCCAAAAATCCTGGTGCCCGTGGTCCTTCCATCCTGACTCTTCCACTCACCCTGTCTGTTCAGTCTGTTTGGCCCCTCCCCGGTGCTCACCTCTTGCGGGAGGGCTTTGCTTGAGAGGGGCTGCCGGGCCCTGGGGATACGCTACCACCCTCCGCCCAGCCCAGAGCACCCCAGCTTACAAGCTTGCAGGGCCTGTGGGGATGAACCACGCGGATGATCTCCCCGGTGGGTATCAGCTCCACTTGCAGCGCCATTCTGCCCTCGGAGAGCCCGCGCTGGGCACTGGGGCCTGTGAGCAAAAGCCCCCTGCCCCCTTGCTGGCTCTGCCCGCTCCAGGAGCCAGGAATCTGTGTCTTATGCCGGAATGGCCACTTGGTTCTGCTTCGACTGCAGCCCCAGGGGATGTGGCTGGTCCAGCGCCTCAGTACACAGCTGGAGCTGTCCAGGTCTGATTGGAGGCCTCTTGGCCCGGATGGTTGGAGCAGGAAGAGGAGGGGCTGGGATGGAGGAAATGCCTCTATCTGGTTGTCCCAGGTAACCAGAGGAGCCCATGCAGCCACCCATGGGGGACCCTAGGCTCCAGGTCAAAGGATAGGATGCCTTTCCCCTTCCCGCATCCCGCAGCAGCTCTCTGGCTACCCCTCCTCCTGACCACTCTCCAGTACCAGCTAGAGAGCAGAGGGGCCACTCCCCAAAGCAGGCCTTTCCTCCCCTAAGCCTTCAAGACCCCTCGGTGGGCACTGCCTTTCCTCACATCCCGCAGTGGGGCCGCCTCCCACAGCCGACGAGCCCCACCATGAGTGTGACGGGCTGGGGGCTGGTCATGCTGGGCAGAGGGGCTGTTCTAATGTGAGGAAGTCCTGTGCCTCAGGTGCTTGTGAGATTCGTTCTTGGGTGTGGGTAACCTCTAGCCCTGGGCATCCCCTGCATTTCAGCAGCACCCACAGGAGCCCCCCACCCCTGATGTTCCTGCTCTTCTATTTTTATTGTTGCTAAATCACAACTGACACTTTCCTGGCCTGAGACTGAGCCCTTGTCTCCAGCCATTCCTTATAGGAAGTAGGAACGGGGAAGTGGAGAGGGGAAATGGGCCTTTCCAGAGAGAGAGGCTGGCATGGGCAGGGCTGGGTCCCTTGGGCCTGTGCTGGCCCCAACAGCCCCAGAGGCAGGGGCCTCCCCCAGCACCCTTCTCTCCCACAGCTTCTCCCGCCCCGGAAAGGCGAGCAAGCCCTCCTTCCTTCCTTCCTTCCTTCCTCCCTCCGGGAAGCACATCCATCCCGGGCAGGCTCATCCCCAGCGGCCACACAATGGCCCTTATCAGCCTCGGAGCCAGGCGCAGACCCAGCGCACACGGAGTCTCACATATTTCCTGTTTCCACCCAGCAGGTCGGGTGGACCCAGAGCGGCCATATCCTGACCAGGCCCAGAGGATGGAGAGCACTCCCCTTCCCCCTTCTGCCTCTCAACCACTGCTGGGCTCACCTCTCCCACACCAGGAGGGGCCCAAACAGGAGGCAGGGCGTGGGGACTCCGGTTCACAACCGGGGAGGGAAGCAGGTGGAGGTCCCTGGGGTCAAGGCTGGGGTGGCACTGACCGAATGGGGAGGCGGGTATAGTATGATATGCTTTCCGCAGCTGCTCTCCTGAAGTAACCTTGCCAACAGGTGCATCACCTGTACTTCACAGATACTGAGGCCCCTCTGTGGTGGGCTCAGGCCCATACCTGTGTTTCTGGTCCTGCAGGAAACCACAGGAGCTTGTAACTGTGAGGAGATCCACCCCCGTCAGCTCTGGCTTTCCCATCTGCCAGATGAAGGGTGCTATGTGGCGACACTCACGACAGCTGTATGTGCAAGAGTAACAGGTGGGCCAGTGACGGCTCTGGAGGTCCCTGAGTGTGTGTGGGTGGCAGGGACAGGTCACTGTGGGGGAAGACTCAGCAAGGGTCTGGGGAGAAGTGGGGCAGAAAGAGATGGTTAACAGTTTGGACTGGAAACCAGGAAGAAGGCTCATGACTGGGGCATGAGCAGCAGCGGGTCAGGGGTGATGAACCAGGAGTTCCTCTACTTGGCAGGGGCGGCAAGCCCCACCAGGGCCAGGACCCCAGTGCTCCCCATGCTAGAGCCCCATCCTAGCCACATCGTAGTGGCCTCTGCAAATCTTAGACACAAGCCTAGCTTGGGTCCACAGGGCCCTGTCCCTGGAGTCCAGCCATGAGCCCCAACCCCCCAATCATGAGTCACACACAAGTGTAAAAGCCACGCTTCTAATTCCCCCTGCACAGTGTAACAGTCACAAAACAGCCAGCCATGGCCTGCGAGAAGCCAGGGGATAGTTCTGGATACACACGGCTTGTAGCACAGAGCAAGTGCAGTGGGCCCCAGCCTCGGGATACGGGACGGCAGGACGGGCACTCGCAGGCTCCCAGAGGCATCTTCTCCGTAAGAGGGCTGCCGAGAGACCACGGCAGGAGGCAAGTGGTGGAGGTGGGAACAAAGCCCCTCGAGAATGCTCTCTGCAGACCCCCAGGGCCAGACCCTCCCACACGTCTTGAGCTGGCCCTCCCTTCTGCCTGCCCCCACTTCGAGGTCCTGGGGGGTCCAGGGGAGGACTGTCGTCAGTGACTCTTGACAAGGGTGAGGCAGATGCACTTGACCTGACAAGCACGACCCAGGAAAAATCTGTGGCCACAGCTCCTGGTCACCCCTTCCTTCCTCAGAGGGTAGGCTGGAAGCACGGGACTCAAGCTACCAGCAGAATTGAACCTGGATCCTTCCCAGTTCTCTCTGTTCGGGCTCTGGAAGTCCCTAGGTGAGACTCCATGTGGTGGGTAGGGAGGAACACTGCTGGCCGAAGGGCCCTCATCAGCCCCCTTTTGCTGAAAGCAGGAATCCCAGACCCTCTGTTCACTCCTCCTGGGGACAGGACTCATGGAATCCAGCACTGCTGTCGCCAGTCTATGCAGCCTGTACAAATGTGAGCATCCCCCTCCCAGATAGCCCGAGGCCCAGGATAACATGACAAGAATGCAGACCTGTGCCAAATGGGGCATGTGCCTGGCAGGACTACTTAGGCCGGACTAGCAAAGGGAGTAGGAATCCAGAAATGAGATCAGAACTGTTCCCAGGTCTACACTGTGGTCAACTAGCTGGTCTCACTCACATCTCAGCAATAAAAACCTGTATTTAAGTGGCTAATTCTAGAGATCAGTAGTGGAGAGAGCAAAGGAGCCTGGCCAGAGCTCACTGGGAGGAGGAGGTGGGCGACACTTGGCTGTCTCTTTGGGGGCCAGGCTGGGCCCCCAGCCCTCCTGCAGTGGCAAGGCAGAGCTAGCTACCAGCTCTGGCCTCCACCTGGGATCCACTCCCACCTGGTCAGATCTGTGGCTGTGCTTCACCCAGTGGGTCCTCCCTCAGGGAGAAAAGCGGGATCTGTGAGATAAAGCAGGTGGCAGAAGTGGGAGAGTGGGTCTTCCTTCTGCTTCCCATCAGCCCATTCTCCCACTGAAGTGGCTCCTCAGGTGCAGTCTGGGTCCCAGGCCTGGGCCTCAGGGAACCAACGATGGGCTCAAGCCCCTCCCCTCCCCTGCCCTTCCCAACATCCCTTACCTGGAAGGGTCTGCTTATCCCTGCCACAGAACGCAGGTTGTTGCTATAGTAACAGAGGAGAAACTCTTCTTCCGTTGCAGGGATATTGCTGATGTCAATGTAAACCTGGAGGGAGGATGGATGGGACTGTGGTCAGCTCCAGGCTCTGGGCGCCACCCAGCTCTGAGTGACAAACTATCCAGCTCTGTTCCTCCCATGACACAGGAGTGCTGAGGCCAGCCCGCCTGCGGTGACATACCTGGTTCAGGTTGTCGCTGAAGGAGACCTCGTTGTCCCCGACCCAGATGTAGGACACGTAGTCATGAATGTCACGCAGCCCCACCTGTGGGGGGAGTCATGTGATCAGTGGTCAGGGAGTACATGGGACCTAAGGCAAGTCCTAAGGAGGGACTGTCTCACTGCTGGGGCCGGCAGTTGTACCAGATGCTTCCCCGCAGCCCTTCACTGCCCTTCCATGCAGAAGAACCCCTGGGATGGACAAGGGTGGGTTTCTCAGTCTACCCAGCTCCCAGGAGCCTTCGGGAGGGATGAACCTCACCTTGTACAGTCCGATCCAGTCCCACGGGCTCCTGGGGAAGTCTGAGGTTGAGGAGTAGCTGACCATCAGGTCGTTCTCCAGGGTCCACAGGTCCTCTGGCATCAGAACGATCGGTGGAGCAGACAGCAACGGCTTCAGCTAGACATAGGGGTGGAAGGGCTCAGTTCGCAGCAGCATTCCCTCCTCAGAGGCCAAGTGTTCTTCCCTGCCCTTCCAACACAGCGGGGAGGGTGGGGCACCCAGAGGGGTGGGCACAGAACTCCGATGGGCTGCTCCAACTGACCTTGGCTGGCCAAACACCAGTCACCAGGGTGGCTGGGCCTATCAGGGAGTCACAGAGCCCAGCGCTGAGGGGTAGGAACTGGGGAGAGCAGAGGCGCGGTTGAGAGGCTTAAGGAAGTGGCAGGCAGCTGCTCTCAGGCCGCTAGAGTATCTGACCCAAAGCCCCACCTGGGGGATGCTCTGGTGAAAACAGCTGTGAACGAGCAGGAACACAAGACAGAAACTAACACAGGCTGGACACGGTGGCTCACACCCATAATCCCAACATTTTGGGAGGCCAAGGTAGGAGGATCACTTGAGCCCAGGAGTTCAAGACTAGCCTGGGCAACATGGCGAAACCCTGCGTCTGTAAGAAATACAAAACTTAGGTATGGTGGCATGCACCTGTAGTCCTTGCTCCTAGGGAGGCTGAGGTGGAAGGATCAGTGACTTGAGCCCAGGAGGTCCAGGCTGCAGTGAGCTGTGATGGCACCACTGCACTCCAACCTGGGTGACAGAACGAGACCCTGTTTTGTGTGTGTGTGTGTGTGTGTGTGTAAAGCCAGTAAGCCAGTATGAAAATGTGAAGGCAGGGCGACAGCAGCAGCCTGAAGGAGGCCAGCACTGACGCAGGGATGGAGGGAGCACCCTTTGCAACTTGATCCAGATAGATTCAGGACAAATAAAAGAAGGCCTACTTCCCACAGTGGGTAATAAGCCTAATGGAACTCATTAGCCCCAAGGGAGAATACCCAAAGGAAACGGAAACCTTTTCACAAAGGGTTTGAACACGTTTTTGACAGAGCCATCAACGGCTCCTAAGAAGAGCTGGGATATCTGACCTGGAGGAAAGGCAATCATGGCCTCCACAGGCCTCCCTGGGGGACTGGCTGACATTAGAATGCAGGGATGGAGGGCTGGGGATGGGGCCCAGCACAGCGATTCCTCTGGCAAGTATCAGGCAGCCCCGAAGTTCACCTCCAAGTCGAAAGTGCCTGCGACAGGCTTATGGTCACTGATGGTGTACATCATGTAGCTGCCATAGCTCCTCTGAGACAGGGAGAAGTCTGGGGCTGGCAGTCCGGGGGTGTGGGGGCCAGCCTGGGGCTGCCGCTTCAGCCGCCACAGGATGCGGTCTGTCCATGCGGGCTTGCGTTTCTTCTCACTGCGGGGGTGGGGGGATGAAGAGGAAGAATGGGAGGGCGTAAGAGCAGAAATGATGCAACAATCTTGCATGTTCTTCACATGTACCCCAAAACCTAAAATGCAACTAAAAAAAAAAAAAAGCAGTAATGAGCCCACAGGAGCTTGCTGGAGTCCCTAACTCCGGCATCTAGTAGCAGCCACAGAGCCCTGGGCCAAAGCTGGAGGGAGCGTGGCAGCAGGCAGGGAGGTGCCCAACGGAACCAAAGGGGTGCTGGCCCTCATCAGGCTTCGCCAGAACCCTCTGTCTAGCTCATATTTTTATGGATCAAATTGTGACTCAGAAATACTCAATTTCAAAGCTTTGCTTCTTTCTTGAGCAAAAGCGACAGTGGATCAAAGCAGCTGAGGTTTGGGATTCTGAAGCTGACCGACCTGAGCTTGACTGGCTGCCCTGCTTACTAGCAGTCTACCTCAGGAAAGGCAAAGAAGCATTTAGAAAATGCTTAGAGATGTAGCTGGGACTACAGGTGCATGACACCATGCCTGTCTTGAACTGCGGGCCTCAAATGATCTTCCCATCTCAGCCTCCCAAAGTGTGGGGATTATAAGGCCTGGGCCACTGTGCCTAGCTATAGCATGCTCTCGTTACAGGTGGGGAAACTGAGGCTTAGCTTTGAAGAGAAGCACCTTTCCCAAAGTCGCAAGCTACAAAGTGGTGGCGCCGGGATTCAGAGCCAGCCAGCATGACTGCAGGGCATGTACTCCTCCCACTGATGAACACCTCAGGCCTCAGCTTCCTTGCCTGCAAGTGGAGGGAAGAGTAGGAGCTGCCCGCACAGGGGTGGTATGACGCCATGAGATCAAATACATAAAATGCAAAGTGAGCTCCCTGTGCACGCCGGCCATCATGATTTGCTCTCAGTTCATGAGACCTCCCACCTGCTCTTCACCAGCCAGCTTCCCTAAGGGGTGTGAAAGAGGTCTTACAGCCCTTGGAGACAAAATGCTTTCCTCCTCCAGGTAACTGAAGTTGACCAAAGACTAGTCTCTGACCTGTAACCCAGCCTTCCCAAGCAACTATTGGAGCAGTTTCTTTTTTTTTGAGGCAGAGTTTCACTCTTGTTACCCAGGCTGGAGTGCAATGGCGCTATCTCGGCTCACTGCAACCTCCGCCTCCTGGGTTCAGGCAATTCTCCTGCCTCAGCCTCCTGAGTAGCTGGGATTACAGGCATGCGCCACCATGCCCAGCTAATTTTTTGTATTTTTAGTAGAGACGGGGTTTCACCATGTTGACCAGGACGGTCTTGATCTCTTGACCTCATGATCCACCCGCCTCGGCCTCCTGAAGTGCTGGGATTACAGGCTTGAGCCACCGCGCCCGGCTATTGGAGCAGTTTCTAAGGCCAGCTTGGTCCTCAGGCCCTGCCCTCCTGGACTACCAGCTAAGTCCTGCCTTGGAGTTGGGGTGCATGTGTGATCGGGGAAGCAGGACAGCTGCTATTTCTGGGTTTCCTTCCCTTGGTGGACAATTCCCTTTCTTGAATGAACCCAGAGTAATAAAGCCTGACGGGATCAATCAATCAATCTAGACAGGATGTCACACACTATCTTGTCTATCATTTGACAGGGCCTGGAATATCTAGCTAGCTAGCTATCAACCAGCAGGGTCTCGCTCTGTTGAATCCTATCTATTAATTGACGGATTGACAGGGTCTTGCTCTGTTGGCCAGGCTGAGTGCAGTAGCACAGTCGTAACTCACTGTAGCTTCAAATGCCTCGGCTTCAAGCAATTCTCCCACCTCGGCCTCCTGACCAGCCGGGACCACAGGCATGTGCCAGAGTGCTGTTTAAAAACCTTTAAGGAGTCTTCATTGCCTCCAGAATTAAGTTTAAGTCCCCAAATAGGGCTTTCAAGGGGCTCAGGAGTCTGACCACCCCCACCCTTCATCTCACACCACTTCCCCAGACCCACTCCACCTTGGTGCCTCTCTCAAGCCTCTGGACCTTTGCTCTTGCAGTTTTTGCTGCCTGGAACACCCTCCTTCACCAGGGAGAGGCCTCTGTCAAAGCCAGCCTGGACCTTATTTGCTTCCAAAGCATTTTATATAGTATTACCCGATTATATTGCAGTTTCCTGCTTCCTACTCAGCACATCACCTGGTGCGGGAACTCTGAAGGCAAGGACTTGGCTCTCGGGGTCTCCTGTGTGTCCTTAGCATTACGGCAGATCCTGGAACACAGGTGCTCCATGACCAGGCACTTTCTAAAATTCCACACTCAAGCTCTCTCTCAAAAATGCCCATCTCATCTTCATGTTTACAGCTGAATATACTCATCAATTGGAAACTTTCTGTCTCCTTTATTCAACTGTTATTAATATATATATATTTTTGAGATGAAGTCTCACTCTGTTGCCCAGGCTGGAGTACAGTGGGGCAATCTCAGCTCACTGCAACCCCCGCCTCCCAAGTTCAAGTGAATTCTCCTGCCTCAGCCTCCCAGTTACCTGGGACTACAGGCATGCACCACCATGCCAGGCTAATTTTTGTATTTTTAGTAGAGACGGGGTTTCACCATTCTGGCCAGGCTCAAACTCCTGAACTTGTGATCTGCCCACCTCAGCCTCCCAAAGTGCTGAGGATCACAAGCATAAACCACCGCACCCAACCTATTCAACTTTTTTTTTTTGCAATGGAGTTTTGTTCTTGTTGCCCAGGCTGGAGTGTAATGGCGCCATCTCAGCTTACCACAATCTCCACCTTCTGGGTTCAAGCGATTCTCCTACATCAGCCTCTCAAGTAGCTGGGATTACAGGCATGTGCCACCATACCCAGCTAATTTTATTTTTGTATTTCTAGTAGAGACGGGGTTTCTCCATGTTGGTCAGGCTGGTCTTGAACTCCCGACCTCAGGTGATCTGCCTGCCTCGGCCTCCTGAAGTGCTGGGATTACAGGTGTGAGCCACTGTACCAGGCCTTCAAATAAATGCTTTTTTTTTTTTTTTTTGAGGCAGTCTCACTCTCTTGCCCAGGCTGGAATGCAGTGGCAAAAACTTGGCTCACTGCAACCTCTACCTCCTGGGTTCAAGCGACTCTCCTGCCTCAGCCTCCTGAGTAGCTGGGATTACAAGCACCTGATAGCATGCCCAGCTATTCTTTGTATCTTTAATAGAGAGGGGGTTTCACCATGTTGCCCAGGCTGGTCTCAAACTCTTGACTTTGTGAGCCACCCGCCTCAGCCTCCCAAAGTACTGGGATTACAGGCGTGAGCACCCAGCCTGCTCAACGGCTATCTTACTGGTTTTTTTGGTTTTTGAGACAGTCTCGTTCTGTAGCCAGGCTGGAGGGCAACGGTGCAATCTTGGCTCACTGCATCCTCTGCCTCAAGTGATCCTTCTGCCTCAGCCTCCCAAGAAGCTGGGACTGCAGGCACGCGCCACCATGCCGAGTTATTTTTGGTATTTTTAGTAGAGACAAGAGTTTCAACCTGTTGGCCAGGATGGTCTCCATCTCTTGACCTCGTAATCTGCCCGCCTGGGCCTCCCAAAGTACTAGGATTACAGGCATGAGCCACTGCGCCTGGCCTCAACTGCTATATATATTTTTTTTTTTTTTTTTTGAGACGGAGTTTCGCTCTTGTTACCCAGGCTGGAGTGCGATGGCGCGATCTCGGCTCACCACAACCTCCGCCTCCTGGGTTCAGGCAATTCTCCTGCCTCAGCCTCCTGAGTAGCTGGGATTACAGGCACGTGCCACCATGCCCAGCTAATTTTTTGTATTTTTAGTAGAGACGGCGTTTCATCATGTTGACCAAGGATGGTCTCGATCTCTTGACCTCGTGATCCACCCGCCTCAGCCTCCCAAAGTGCTGGGATTACAGGCTTGAGCCACCGCGCCCGGCTCAACTGCTATTTTAAGTAACTTTCCCAGTGTACTGTTGTCCCTTTAACAGCAATAGAGTAAGTATTCCAGAAATGGTGGAGAATGGCCACGGTGGTGAACTCAGACTTTAGAACTGGAGGCCAGCTGGGGAAGGCTCTGTCCTGTTCATTAAGAGCTGTATGGCCCTGGGCAAATGACTTCATCTCTCTAAGTCTCAGTTTCTTCAACTGTTAAGATGGGGTGATAACAGTACTTACTTCAAAGAGCAATAAGGAAATTAAAGAGCGTCAGGGAGTGGTCGGGAAGTGGTAACTGACCCAACCGTGGACTGCTTGCTGGCTCCTTGGTTTGTTCCCAACGTTCCACTCTTCTAAGGAGTGCTCCGAGGGCACTGGAATGTGCTGTTCCCATCCCAGAGACTACAGATGCCGCACCCCTGAATCTGCCGTGGACACCGATGCCTAGAATGCTTAAAACCCAGTGATGAACTACATTACTGCACCTTCCCTCCAAAGCACTCTCCCTCCCCAGCTTCCCTGTGATGGACTGGAGCCCATACCTGCTGTCACTGAAGGATTCTCCCAGGTCCTGACCACAGTCTGTCTCTTCTTCCTCCTCAGGACCTCTCCGCCTGCCCCCACCCCCACCACCTTTTCCTTTTCCTTGCCACAGCCAGGCTGATCACTGGGCACCTGTATTACTCATTCTTTCAACCAAGATTGATTTAGCGATTCCACACGCCCCACAGCTGGGAATGTGAGAAATAGGACGGACACGGTCCTTGTTATTTGGCTTGTTGAACAAAACCCAAGAAACAATCAAAGCGAGTGTGCACACATTCACCAAGTTCCCTCCGCTCTACCTTGTCCTTTAGAGACAGGGTCTCGCTGCCACCCAGGCTGGAGTGCAGTGTTGTGATCATAGGTCACTGCAGTACTCTTCAACTCCTGGGCTCAAATGACCCTCCTGCCTCAAGCCTCCCGAGCAGCTGGGACGTCAGGGGTACACAGCACGCCTGGCTATTATTTTTAGACAGGGTCTCACTGTTGCCCAGGCTGGAGTGCAGTGGTGTGATTACAGCTCACTATAGCCTCAATTTCCTGGACTCAAGCGATACTCCCACCTCAGTCTCCTGAGTAGCTGGGATTGTGGGCGTGCCCTACCATGCCGAGCTAACTTTTGTATTTTTTATAGAGATGGGATTTTGCCATGTTGCCTAGGCTGATCCTGAACTCCTGGGCTCAAGTTATCATCCTGCCTCTGCCTCTCAGAGTGCTGGGGTTTAGAGGTGTGAGCCACCACACCTGGCCTCTAAAAAAATATTTGTAGGGGGAAGGGTCTATGTTTCATGGGCACCCATTTCTAATAAAAGTAGTAACTAAAAATTGGGTAGTTCTGGCCAGGCACAGGGACTTACACCTGTAATTCCAGCACTTTGGGAGGCCGAGGGAGGCAGATCATGAGGTCAGGTTCTAGACCAGCCTGACCAATACGGTGAAACTCCAACTATACTAAAAATACAAAAACTAGCTGGGTGTGGTGGCACACACCTGTAGTCCGAGCTACTCAGGAGGCTGACGCAGGAGAATCACTTAAAGCCAGTAGGCAGAGGTTGCAGTGAGCCGAGATCGCATCCCTGCACTGCAGCCTGGGCAACAGATGGAGACTCCATCTCAAAAAAAAAAAAAGTTTGTCTAAGGCTGGGCATGGTGGCTCACGCCTGTAATCCCAGCACTTCGGAAGGCCAAGGCAGGTGGATCACCTGAGGTCAGGAGTTCAAGACCAGCCTGGCGAACGTGGTGAAGCCCCGTCTCTACTAAAAATAGAAAAAATTAGCCAGGTATGGTGGCACATGCCTGTAATTGCAGCTACTTGGGAAGCTGAGGCAGAGAATCGCTTGAGAATCGCTTGAACCCGGGATGCAGACGTTGACGTGAGCAAAGATCATGCCACCGCATTCCAGCTTGGTGACAAGCGCGAAACTGTCTCAAAAAAAAAAAAAAGAAAAAAAAGAAAAAAAAGTTTCTCTGGGCTCATAGAGGCAACTGTAACAAAACTCCAGTGTAATCCCGGACTTGGGCAGGATTTCCGCCCTGCCCTATGAGGAGCTGCCTCATTTCTCATTACATGTTGGCTCGGGGATTCTGGAATGGCTGGCCCAGCACACTGACACCCAGTCCCTTCATCAAGCCAGGACCCGCCAGGTTCTGTGGTCAGGCCCTCCAGGTGCCTCTCGTCAGTGCACTGACTGATGGGAAAGCCTGCCCTTCTGCTTTCTGCCAAGCTCTGCTGCCTCATTCAAGGTACTCTCCTTGACAGGAAGTCTGACAGGCTTCTCCAGCTTTACTGTCTACCACCTAAGGAACGTTTGCTCCAACCTTCTGCATGGAGTCCTGGAAACCCACTAACTCCCAGGCTTGGTACACATGCCAGGCACTGTGCTGCTGCCAGGGATGGCCCTAAATCAGATGGTCTCTGCTCTCTGGGCAATCACAGGACAGGAAGAACGCACACTGTGTCTTAAAAGCAACACTGGAAGCATGGCGTGTGCACGGCTGGGGCAGCGCAGGCAGGAGACGAACCCTCAGTGAGATGGGGTCAGAGAGGCGTCTTAGGAAAGGTGATGTCTCAACCTGGTTTGCAAGGATTAAGTCAGTTTCATTAGAAAGGACTATCTCTGTTCCCCAGGTGGGCTCAGGCCCTGCTCACTGCAGGAACTCCCAGCTGCTTCTGGCCCCTGGCCCCTGCCAGGAATAGTTCAGTTATGATGCCCCCTGGTCCTGCCCAAACCTTTCATTTCCTGGGCTCTGCCAAAGGGAAGAAATATTGAAGGCTCATGAGACTAAAGTCACAGGAAGGGAAGGAGACTGAGGCTCAGAAGTCTAGAGACACAGGAAGGGAAGGAGGCTGAAGGCTCAGGAGTCTAGAGACACAGGAAGGGAAGGAGACTAAAGGCTCAGGAGTCTAGAGACACAGGAAGGGAAGGAGACTGAAGGCTCAGGAGTCTAGAGACACAGGAAGGGAAGGAGGCTGAAGGCTCAGGAGTCTAGAGACACAGGAAGGGAAGGAGGCTGAGGCTCAGGAGTCTAGAGACACAGGAAGGGAAGGAGACTGAAGGCTTAGGAGTCTAGAGACACAGGAAGGGAAGGAGGCTGAGGCTCAGGAGCCTAGAGACACAGGAAGGGAAGGAGACTGAAGGCTCAGGAGTCTAGAGACACAGGAAGGGAAGGAGACTGAGGCTCAGGAGTCTAGAGACACAGGAAGGGAAGGAGGCTGAAGGCTCAGGAGTTGAGACAGGAAGGGAAGGAGACTGAGGCTCAGGAGTCTAGAGACACAGAAAGGGAAGGAGACTGAAGGCTTAGGAGTCTAGAGACACAGGAAGGGAAGGAGGCTGAAGGCTCAGGAGTTGAGACAGGAAGGGAAGGAGACTGAGGCTCAGGAGTCTAGAGACACAGAAAGGGAAGGAGGCTGAGGCTCAGGAGTCCAGAGACACAGGAAGGGAAGGAGTGAGGGTCAGGAGTAAGAGACACATGTGAGTTCCAATCCGTGTTCGATTATGAAGTCCATCATTCCTTACTATCTATTCTTTGGACTCAGTGGCCTTATTTGTTAACAGTCAATAATAACACTGTCTGCCTCCTAAGAGCATGGTGAGAAATGACAAGGTGGAGCCTCTGCATACACCTGTGCGCCAGTCACAGTGAGCTGTTATTTAGAAATAGGTGCGTGCCTCCCCTAGCAGAGGCTGGCTTCCTCACTGTGCCATCTTCTTGCTGTTGCTGGCAAGGCTGGCCATGAATCCTGAAGTACGACAGGCTTGAGGAAGGCACTGTGGGCCACAGAGCCAGAGAATCAGGGCTGAGCCGCAGCTTGCCACGCACTGGCTGAGCCACCTGGGGTGGGGGTCCTCTCACTTCTAAGCTCTCCATTCTGCCAGACCCTGCCAACTCCAGCCCAGACCCAGCTTTTGCAACAAGCTCCAGTGTCCTGGAGGTCTCTCTGTCACAGGGTTGTGAGGAAGGGACCCCTGGCTACAGGGCCTGCCAACAGCTCTCTTCATGCTGGCAAGTTTTTTTTTTTTTTTTTTTGAGACGGAGTTTCGCCCTTGTTACCCAGGCTGGAGTGCTAATGGCGCGATCTCGGCTCACCGCAACCTCCGCCTCCTGGGCTCAGGCAATTGTCCTGCCTCAGCCTCCTGAGTAGCTGGGATTACAGGCACGTGCCACCATGCCCAGCTAATTTTTTGCACTTTTAGTAGAGACGGGGTTTCACCATGTTGACCAGGATGGTCTCGATCTCTCGACCTCGTGATCCACCCGCCTCGGCCTCCCAAAGTGCTGGGATTACAGGCTTAAGCCACCGCGCCCGGCCCATGCTGGCAAGTTTTTAAAGAGTTTTTTTTTTTTTTTTTTTCCCAGACAGGGTGCCCAGGCTAGAGTGCAGTGGGTCAATCCCAGCTCATCGCAGCATTTAACTCCTGGGTCCTCCTGCCTCAGCTTTCCTGAGTAGCTGTGACTACAGGCACACCGCACTACACACAGCTAATTTTCAAATATTTTGTAGAGATAATGTCTAACTATGTTGCCCAGGCGGGTCTTGAACTCTTGGCTTCAAGGAACACCTCCACACCCACAGCCTCACAAGTCCTTACTGCTGCCATCACGACTCTCATTGCTAATGGATGGCTGCAGCTGTGGATCAGGGCCAGCCAGCCTGCCATGGCCTGCCCTCCTACCTCCTTTCCTGCCCGCCCTGCGGCCCGGGGCGGGTCCTGCTGCCCGTGACCCTGCCTCCTCTTCTGGGGACTGCCCTCGTTGTGACCCCACCGTCTTGATGCACGCAGCTGGATCGGCTCACTCTTGCCCCCTTTCCTTGGCAAGGCTATTTTGGCTTTGTGGTGCCGCTTCCAGAACCAAGCTTGAGTTCTACCTCCTGCCCTGGCCTGGCGGTGGAGATGTTTCTGCACTGACTAAATCCCAAAGGCCTGGGCTGTCCTGCCAGCACCCCCCGCCTCCCTTGCTGAGACGCTCGGGCTAGGAGGAAGGAAGGAGCTGCTCCACTGAAATGAAGACCCTCATGACATGCAAGGCCTCTTTTCTCCAAAGAGAGTAGGGTCCTTGCCCCGAACTGGGTCAGGGACATGTTGCCAGAGCTTCTTTCTCAGGTTTTGGTGGTTGCTTGGCCCCTTCTCAGCTGCTTAGAAAGGTTTTTAGTAAAACTATGGCGGGAAGACATGGATCTAAGAGTAACAGCAGCAGTTACCGCCGGTGTTTACTGGGTGCCAGGTACCGGGCTAGGCGGACACAAGTCCTCCTTCAATCCTCAGCCTCATCCACATCTCAAAGATGACAAAATCGAGGCCTAAACACATTGAAGTCATAAAGAGCTGTGTTTCCAATTACCAGACTCGCGATCTCTGCATTGACCCTGATGAAATTCTCTATGACTGCTTCATCTTCTCACATAGTATCCGACCCACTCGCAGGCTGGGGCAGGGGTACTGAACACCAGAAACTGGCTGGGCCAAGCTTTCTACCCCACCTGGGGACCAGAAGGTCCTGGGAAGTGGGGCCTGGGGTTCCAGAAGGTCCTGGGAAGTGGGGGCTGGGGCTTCAGAAGGTCCTGGGAAGTGGAGGGCTGGGGTTCCAGAAGGTCCTGGAAAGTGGGGTCTGGGGTTTTAGAAGGTCCTGGGAAGTGGAAACTAGGGTTCCGGAAGCTGAAGTGCAGTCCCTCCTAGGTCAGGAGGCAGCTGCTGCACCCTCCACTCTGGCTCCATCTGTAACCACCCCCCACATCTCTCCGGCCTTTGCTGGCACTGGCTTTCCTCCCATGCTCTCTGAGGACATCTGAGACGGTTCCCACAGTCAGTGCCTCATGAAGTGGACAGGAGGCGGCACTCTGAAAAGGGGATGGCTAGACCTCTTTCTGCCCCCCAATGCTTCTATTCCATCCTGCGACAGCTCCCATCCAGTAAGCCGACTTCCTAGAGCTTCTGGCCCCCACTTTCTCCTCACCTGGTGTCATAGTTGCTGGAGTTCCTATCAAACTTGTAGGTGGGCGGGAAGAACAGGCGGCCCTCCTGGAACTCCCGGAGCAGTGGGTCATGTTTCTTGGCAATGCTGAGCTGCAGACAAAATCACAGGCCCCGTCTCCCAGCAGTCTCGGGCCCATGGCCCAGCACCACACTCCATTCAAGGAATGAGCACATCCCATCACAGATGGGGCAAGAGTCAAGCACTGCCCCTCCACCTCCTCACTCCTGGGGGCTACTCAGCAGCCCACCCCCACCAGACCCCACCAGAAAGAAGGTGGGTCCTTTCAGAAATGTTACCAAGGCCCAGGGGAGGAAGCTGCCTCCATTTCCCCAGTCCTTAGGCTGAGGGACCAGACTCTGAACTCCATCTCTAGAGGAGGGCACTAGCAGACATGCACCAGAGAGGAGCCGGGGTAACCAGGGTCCTCCAAAGGGGTAACTCATCCTCCAAGAGGGCAACATGGCTGGGGATGGGAAAGACAACAGGACTACGATGGGATGATGCATGTGCCGAACCAAGGCACGAAAAGCCTGGTGCAAAGCCCTTCTGCTTCCCTATTCTTTTTTTTTTTTTTTTTTTTTTTTAGAGACGGAGTTTTCGCTCTTGTTACCCAGGCTGGAGTGCAATGGCACGATCTCGGCTCACCGCAACCTCCGCCTCCTGGGTTCAGGCAATTCGCCTGCCTCAGCCTCCTGAGTAGCTGGGATTACAGGCACGCGCCACCATGCCCAGCTAATTTTTTGTATTTCTAGTAGAGACGGGGTTTCACCATGTTGACCAGGATGGTCTCGATCTCTTGACCTCGTGATCCACCCGTTCCCTATTCTTTTTTAAAGAATTCATTTCATGCCTGCATCTGGCTCCCTATTCTAGAGCATACCCGGAGCTGTTACCCTGGCTCTTTCACGTGAAGATCAGGCACTGGCAGCCATGGCTGCCTCACCCCCAGATGTGAGGTCCTGCTAGACACCCTCCCCCAGCAGACCTGGGTGTAGAAGAGCGGCAAGGGTATCTAGCAACACCGCGCGCTCAGACTACCCCTGGGGCCCTCCCTCACTCGATACCTGATCCTTCTCCCAAAGGTCACTGTAGCGCCGATTTTTAATGGATTCCCGGACAAAGTGCAACCCAAAGTCCTCGATGCGAAAGTTCATGTCTCCAAACCAGATAATGAGGCTTCAGAAAAAAGGAAGGCAGCCTGAGGATTTGTGATGAGGTCAGAGAAGGGAAACCACCAGGTGGCTGGACCCGCTCCACCCGAGGGCTGCCAGGGCAGAGAAAGCCCGAGGGGTAGGGGAGACGCCAGACGCCAAGGCACACATGGGTCCGCTGGAACTGTGCTCATGGCTCCCAAACCACCATTCAAACCGAAGACACCCGCCAAAGAGCCTGCTCTGGCAAACACAGAGCAAGCTGTGGCCCTTCCTTTCTCAACTGGTCACAAGGAAAGGCTGAGGAGCCCTCCTGGAGACCTCAGGAACCACAAGGTCCTTGGTCTGTTCCCAAGTGTTCAGGGTTTCTAGGCAAGACAGAGGGGCTGGAGGAAGGGGACCCCAGGCAGGCAAAGCAAGGGCAGACAGCAGACGGGGCATGAGAGAAGGGGCAGGGAGAGGGTGGGAGCCAGACTACTGACTGCTGGGCAGAGGATGCTGGCTTGGGTCAGCACAGGGCAGAGGGCAGGGTAACAGTGTGCAGATCCAGGCTCACTCATGGTCCAGGATGTTGGGGATATCTTGTCCCTGAAAAGTCTGCATCTCCAGGATCCAGTCGAAGTGCTCCAGCCGCTGGTAATTGTTGGAAATGTGGGGAGGCAGGTGGCAGTTGATGATGCTGACATAGTAGCCATAAAGCTTCAGGCAGATGTTGACTCCTCCTTTGTTCCCCTGGAAGACAGGGACACAGAAGAGTGGCTGGACACGCCCCTCTTTTCACATCCTGGGCTTGAGGGGAGACAGTCTTACCTCCCACAGGGTCTCCCAGGGACAGAAACAAAGCTTCCCACGTGATCTCTCCATGCACAGAGCCCAGGTCACTTAGCCTGGGCCTCAAGAGGCCACTCTGAGGCACAAGAACAGATATGCAGGGCACTGGGCCGGACAGAGTACCGAGATTCCTTCCCCCTCCTTTTTCTTTTGCCCAGCTCCACAGTTCCCAGCGCTTCCCAGCTCACTACTTGGACAATAGCTCAGTCCTTACCCAGTACCCAAACAGGCCGGTGGGGGTGGATTTAGTAGAGAGAATCTGGAGATAGGGCAAATGCTGATACTTGGCAAAGACCAGTAAGAGAATCCCCTGCATACGCATGTGGGAGACCTGCAGGAGACAGAGGGCGAAGGTTACTCATTAAAACGAACAGGCCAAGGGCACCCCTTCCAAGCCCTGCGCTAGGGACTCTAGAGAACCCTCAGCTATAGGCAGCGTCCTGCCCAGGGTCTACGATATCCCAGTTTCAATTGCAGAGTTTCAAGCCTTTTTATTCTTCTCCTGAGCTGCCAAATGATACACCCTGGAAACTGAGGTTTTAGATGCTGCTCCTAGGTCTGGGGGTGGTGGGAAGAGAAGAGAAGGCTACCAGGGCACCCTGCCTTCAGAAGAGCGCCCTTGCCCCAGGGATGTCTAGGCCCCTCTCTGCAATGCTACCCTGAGATCCTCTGGGCACTCTGAGGCTGCAACCTCCTCAAAGAGGAACGTGAATGTAAGAGGATAGTGGCCAAGGGTACCAGCTTTGAAGTTAGATCTCGGTTCAAACCCTGGTGCCGATTCTTAGTATTTGACATTGAGGAAGTTTCTCAGTGTATTTTCTCATTCATAAAGCAGGAATCTCTCATAGATGCTGTGGGGATTATCTGACAGCTATTATTTTTGGTTTAAGCTTTTTTTTTTTTTTTTTTTCTGAGACGGAGTTTCGCTCTTGTTGCCCAGGCTGCTGGAGTGCAATGGCGTGACCTAGGCTCACTGCAACCTCTGCCTCCTGGGTTCAGGCAATTCTCCTGCCTCAGCCTCCTGAGTAGCTGAGTAGCTGGGATTACAGGCACGTGCCACCATGCCCAGCTAATTTTTTGTATTTTTAGTAGAGACGGGGTTTCACCATGTTGACCAGGATGGTCTTGATCTCTTGACCTCGTGATCCACCCGCCTCGGCCTCCCAAAGTGCTGGGATTACAGGCTTGAGCCACCGCGCCCGGCCAAGCATTTTTTTTTTTTTTTGAGATGGAGTCTTGCTCTGTCACCTAGGCTGGAGCACAATGGCACAATCTTGGCTCACTGCAATATCTGGGGTTCAGGTGATTCTCCTGTCTCAGCCTCCCAAGTAGCTTGGATTACAGGCGCCTGCTACTAGGTCCAGCTAATTTTTGTATTTTTAGTAGAGACAGGGTTTCACCATGTTGGCCAGGCTGGTCTTGAACTCCTGATCTCAGGTGATGCACCTACCTCGGCCTCCCAAAGTGCTGGGATTACAGGCGTGAGCCACTGCGCCTGGCCTGCATTCTTAAAAGTGAATGAATATGAGAGGTTTCCAGGGTTCCAGAAATGCTCTTTATTCCCTTCCCCCTGGAAATGTTCTTTATCCACCCTCTGCCCCTATCCCTCCCTTTTTATTTAGAGACAGGATTTCACCCTGTCTACCAGGCTGGAGTGCAGTGGTGCAATCATGGCTCACTGCAGCCTTGACATCCTGGGCTCAAACAATCCTCCCACCTCAGCCTCCGGAGTAGCTGGAACCACAGGTGTGCACCACCATGCCCTGATATGTTTGCTTTGTATAAACAGGGTCTTGCCATGTTGCCCAAGGTGGTCTTGAACTCCCAGGCTCAAACAATCTGCCTGCTTCCGTAATCCCAAAGTAAGTGTTGGGATTACAGGCGTGAGCCACCTCACACCACCTGCTCTTTATCTAGACGTGGCTGATGGTAACATGGGTACATATGTATATATAAAAATCCATCAACGTGTACACTGAATTTCTGCACACTTTTCTGTGTACATTACAGCTCAGTGAAAAACAATTAAGAAAATGTTCCCCCAAAACCCCATAACTATAGACTGTGTGCAGCTGGAGGTCCATACAGGCAATACCCAGGGAGTGCCGATGAGTAAGGACACATGCTCACAGGCTGTGGAGAGCAATTAGCTCAAGTGCCTCCTCTCTCATTACTCCTCATGCCACCCCATAAGGAGGCACCGCCCATTTTGCAGAGGAGGGACTAAGACTCTGGGAGGCTAAGGAACTGGTAGAGCTACCGTACTGTAGAACATCATGGACTAGGAGCCCTACTATCTGCCACTGCAAAAGGTGGGGTGGGAATGGGCCGCAGCCAGTAACCCCCTTTCAGGTTCAGGCTGTCTACACCCAGCATCCGAGTAGCTGCTTCCGGAGAATGAAGTGTGGAGGCCAAGGAGGAAATCCCCGGGTGGGGAGCGTGTACTGGGGCCTTCCAGGAATTATGAAACTTGATCCTGCAGGCCACGAGCCCTAGCACAGTGGAGGAGTCAAAACAGGGGCACCTCAAACCCAGCACCGGGCAAGAGAGGCATCAGAACTTCCGGATGGGCAGGCGTTGCTGCAGATGTGTCCTTAAGCCTCCCTCCACCTCAGTCTTCTCTCTCCCACCCCCAAGCAGGATGACAGCAGCAGTGGAGGATGGGCTGGACGGTGAGGGGCTGACTCCCAGGGTCAGGACTGAAGTAATGGGACTGTAAAGACTCAGGAAAAGTTTTAGGCTTAATCCCCACCCACAAGGCAGCTTTAGGCCACTGGGTTCCACCACAAAGACACTGGCTCACTTTGTGGAGGAGCAGCAGGAACATGGGGCGGGGAGGGTGCAGTGGGGCAGGACAGAGTCAGACTGGGAGAAAGGGTGGGGCTGCTGGAAAAGTAGCAGAGTTCCAGGGCAGGTTCTAGTTGGAGGAAATGGAGGAGGAGGAGCAGAGGACGGACTAGCAGGAGGTGGCTGGGGGCTGCAGAGCCATCCTAGGGGTCAGCCCTTCTCAGTGGATAAGGCTTAAGCAGAGCTCACCCCTCCACCCACATTCTTGGCTGGGGGAAAAAGGGCACCTGTTTTGGGTGCCAGGCCCTCAGGCTGGCCTCCCAATCTCAGTAGGCCACATGGGTAGAAAGGGCTATGTCCCTGCCACAAGCTGAACTAATTTCCTTGGCTCAATTCCATCCTACCAATCCCTTGCCAGTCAGCCGAGAAGCAAGGAGGCCTGCAGTCCTGGGAAGGGAGTGGCTGGTGAGAGAAGGAGTTCTGTCTTCTGGAAGGATCTAGCTCCGTGTCTACAGAAGGAGGCCTCTGGGTTTCATTTGGAGGGGACCAAGGACCCAGGCTGGCATTTTCTGTCCTCAGCAGAAGTTCTAAACCTTGGATTCTTTACTTCGCATTCTGTCCCCTCCAAAGGAGACACAGCTCTTGCGCTAGTACTCTAAGGCAAAGGAGGCTGACAGAGTTCATTCTGAAGAACAAGAGGCATCCAGGAAAGTGGGAGAGGGAATTCTGGCATTTCTAAGCAGCTGTACACCAGGTGCTATAAAGGGGAGTGTGTCTCCACTCTCAGGTGTGCGGGGCAGAACCCAGGGTAAGACCCAGCAGCCCAGAGCCTTCCTGTGGACTCTCCTGCGGGCTACAGATGCCCCAGAATATATCCACCACACCCGACTCCCCTCTCCTAACCTCTGGAGCCCCAGAATTTGAGATGCACGTTTCGTATGACCAGAGGATACTGTATGACACCAGCACGTTAGCCATGTTTAGACCTGTCAGCTTTTTTTTTTTTTTTTTTTTTTTTGGAGAGAGTCTTGCACTTGTCACCCAGGCTGGAGCACAGCGGCGCGATCCCCGCTCACTGCAACCTCTGCCTCTTGGGTTCAAGCAATTCTCCTGTCTCAGCCTCTTTGAGCAGCTGAGATAACAAGTGCCCATCACCACACCTGGCTAAGTTTTGTATTTTTAGTAGAGGCGGGGTTTCATTATGTTGGCCAGGGTTGACTCAAACTCCCAACCTCAGGTGATCCACCCGCCTCAGCCTCCCAAAGTGCAGGGATTACTGGTGAGAGCCACTGCTCCTGGCCAAGACCTGTCAGTCTTGGAGTTCGCCAGCACAGCAACAAAGTATTAGCAGTGAAGAACTCGGGTCATGAAGTCTGAAAGACCTGGATCCAAATCCAAGATAGCCCACGTGACTTCTGAGCCATGGCTCTGTCTGTAAAGTACCTCTATTTCAACAGACTTGTTGAGGTTTTAGAGGAACATATATAAAGAGCTACTTATGATGTTTTACACCAAGTAAGCTTCTGATAAATGACAGCCATCATTATTACACTCAGAGGCTTCAGGACGAGCATTTGAGGAAAGACTGGTGGCTGGGGCAGGGGCCAGCACTGAGGTGTTGACAAGCCCTGCTGCACCTCTCCTCAGAATCTTTCCAAGCCGAAAAATATCCAGGTGTTAACCTAACCCCTGGAGACTCAGCTCAGCTCTAGCTACTTCAGAAAGGCACAAGGCAGGCAGGAGCCCCAGGGATGCAGGTGTAATCGAGGTTTAGCCCTTTAAACAAATGGGAAACAGCAGGAAAGGCTGAGTAGGAGTAAGAGGAACACATCAGACCAACAAATGGGGGTCAGTGGAAAGGGGAAAACACAGCTCTCAATTGCCCATGAACTGCCAGTTACCTTGACGAAGCCCAGAGGGGAAAGCGTATCCATGAGGAAACTGCTCCATGAGTCATTAAAGGCAGCATCAGAAAGGAGGCTTATGATCCCAGAGTTCAATTCCTGCAAACTGATCATGCCAACTCAGAGGCTTGTCCCCGGCCTCCAGGGTGCTTCCCCTGACACAGATATTTCATCCTGTCTTCACGGACTTCCAAGCCCTGAGTTGTGATGACCATGAGGTCCCCATCTCCTGCCTGATCACCCACCCCTTGTTGTTGCTGACCCAGGACAAGAGACATGGGATGGACCCAAAGCAGACTGAAGGCTCCCAGCCCTCAGCCTCCAGAGTGCAGGAGGGCAGACTACAGTGCTTCATTCCCCATGGGGAAACTTGGGACTGGTCAGGGATGGGTGAAGGAGCCTGCAGATACCTACCCAATGATATACATGTCAAGATTCGCGTTCTGGTTGTTCAGCTGAAGCAGGTCACTGAGATCTAGAGGGGGTGCTGCTGAGGCCACATTCCAAGTCACCACATGGATGCTGTGGAAGGGATGCAGGGGGAAGTCATGCAGGAAGGAAGGTAAGACAGGTCACTGGGTGGGCCGGACGCAGTGGCTCAAGCCTGTCATCCCAGCACTTCAGGAGGCCGAGGCGGGCAGATCACAAGGTCAGGAGTTCAAGACCAACCTGGCCAACATGGTGACACCCTGTCTCTACTAAAAATACAAAAATTAGTTGGGTATGGTGGCAGGCTCCTGTAATCCCAGCTACTCGGTGGAGACTGAGGCAGGAGAATTGCTTGAACCTGGGAGGCAGAGGTTGCAGTGAGCTGAGATCATGCCACTGCACTCCAGCCTGGGCAACAGAGTGAGATTCTGTCTCAAAAAAACAAAACAAAACAACAAAGATAGTGCACAGATGGTGTCTAGACCTGCTCAGGTCACCACAATCCTCCGCACTTGTGATGGGAAATGCAGGTGTCTGTACTGATGGAGGGAATGAGGATACTGAACAATCGGCTATCCATCCTCACCTTTGTCCACTGAAGCAGGAAACCACACCGTGGACTGGCTCCTCCAGGCAAGCGCACAGCTGTGAACAGCTGGCAGCCCTGGTGCTGCTGACATAGCAGAGGTGCCGAAGGGTGCCCAAGACTCCCAGGTCAGGCAAGGGAAGGTCAGGGGGCTGAATGGATTAACTCCATCATCTCCTCCAGCCACCCACACACAACTTTGATCATCTATGGCTCAGTCAGCAATTTCCCATTCTACTTCTCACCCCAGGTGTTCCTAAGACCACCAGGAAGATCCTGGGGACTCAGATTTTACCTTGTGCTAGGCCTCAGCACCACAAGGGCGGATGAATTTAAAACATAAAAGAGATAACAACACCATGTTGCCTTCCTCTCTCCTCCCTAGCAAATCCCTGGAGCAAACCAATTTTGCCAAGCACTTCACTGAGCCTAAGGAGAAGCTTCTTTTTTTGTTTAGATGAAGTCTCATTCTGTTGCCCAGGCTGGAGTTCAGTGGCATGATCTGGGTTCACTGCAGCTTCCACCTCCCGGGTTCCAGCGATTCTCCTGCCTCAGCCTCCCAAGGAGGTGAGATTACAGGCGTATGCCACCACACTTGGCTCATTTTGTATTTTTAGTAGAGATGGGGTTTCACCATGTTGGCCAGGTTGGTCTCAAACTCCTGACCTCAGGTGATCTGCCCACCTCAGCCTCTCAAAGTGTTGGGATTACAGGCCTGAGCCATCACGCCTGGCCAAGGAGAAGTTTCTAAGTAACAGGTTTCTCTGCATATGTCTTAAGAGTCTATACTCTAGGCTACGTCGTAGTATTGCATGAAGAAATAAAAAAAGAGTACTCTCTCTCGGGAAAAGTCATTACTTGGATAACATTTTAACCTCAGCATACAAGTCTTGGGGAGGCAAGAGACTTCCTAGGTGATCAGGGGCCTCAATGACACTGGACCCACTCAGAGGCTCAGAGGAAGGAGACCTGAAGAGGCCGGCAGATGTCTTTAGCGGAATACTGACAGCAGCCCTACAAGCAGTGCCAGACTGTGCGGAGCACAGAGCAGGTAGGAGCTGCAGCCCCTGCAGAGACCAGCAACAGCTGGCCTGAGTGCTAGGCCCACGGTGAGGAGGAGGACCTGCAGCAGCTGGAGATCCGAAGTGGGGGGAGGGGGGGTAACAGGGGACTGGGAGAAAAGGGCAAATGAGGCCAAAACATCTCTTCTCCAACAGATCCTGCTCTTAGAGGTCGACGTTCTCCAAAGCACTTCAAGAAATTCTTGGCCAGTTTAAAACAACTTCCTGTCCCTCTCCATTAGCATAAACAACACCATACAGAAACCACCTTCCCAGGCACTCGGCCTGAGATTAAGTGCTTCATTTGTCTACGATCTCCCCCTGCTGTCCGACAGAGGCTTAAGGAACAAAGACTTATTTTGCTCAAAGACTTATTTTCCCAGACTTGCTCTAAGTGGATGGAGAGCACAAGTCCAGATTTCTTGTTCCCACTCTCAGATCCGACGATTAGCAGCAAATCCATGCATCGTGACTTAGACTAAGCAGGCGATTAGCGCTGTTCCCTGTGAAAGAGCAGGCAAGAGACTAGGCTAAGTCACTTCACTAAAGGATCTTATCTCAATCTGATTGTGGATTTCCGGGGATCACCGTGGAATCAGGCAGAACTCATGATGTATGTGCTGATGAAAAGTAGGAACGCCGGGCGTGGTGGCTCATGCCTGTAATCCCAGCACTTTGGGAGGCTAGGGCGGGCGGATCACCTGAGGTCCGGAGTTCGAGACCAGCCTGACCAACGTGGAGAAACCCTGTCTCTACCAATAACACAAAATTAGGAGGGTGTGGTGGCGCGCGCCTGTAATCCAGCTACTAGGGAGGCTGAGGCGGGAGAATCGCTCGAACCCGGGAGGCGGAGGTTGCGGTGAGCCAAGATCGCGCCACTGCACTCCAGCCTGGGCGACAGAGCAAACCTCCATCTCAAAAAAAAGAAAAAAGGAAAGTTGGAACGAGATTCCTAACCTAGAGCTGAAGGGTGACGGCCTTGTTATGTCTCTAAGCTCACAAACCCAACACAGCTGACTTCTCCAGAAAGCAACCGCAACACCCGATCGCGCCCCAGTGGGAACGAGCTTGGCGGCCTCGGCTTAGGGAGCGCGCGAGGCTCGGGCCCAACACAGCCCACCCGGCACAGGCCTGGAAGAATGTGAGCGCGCCCCTGAACCCAAGGCGGTCATGGAGGTCTGCAGCCTTGCCTCCCAGGCTGCGCCCACCAGCAGCCCGCAGCCCGCAGCCCGCAGCCCGAGGGAGTCGGCGGCCGCCATCCGCCCCAGCAGGCTGCCCCGCCGCCAGCGCCTCCTCACCCGAGCCTCCTGCTTTTCGGCCCGGCCGGCTTCCGAGAGCTCATGGCAGCCGCCGTCCCGCGCGGTAGTCTGGCAGGCTCGCGTCTGGCGGCCAGAGCAGCCCTGCTGCCGGCCGGTCTCACGCGCCCAGCTGTCGCGGACTGTTTTTCTTCCGGACTCCGACCGCCCGCCCCGGCTTCCGTCAGAGACAGGCCATGGGCGAACCGCCGGCTCCGGGTGGTGCGGCTCGCGGGAGGAGGCGGGACTCTCCCACAAGCGCGAAGCTGCGAGAGGCTGAGCGAAGATGGCTTCGGGGACGTCAGGGAGGCGTGTCTGGCCCGTCATCAGCGTACAACGCCACACAACCGCAGCCGGCCCTGGTGCGCGCCCTCCACTGGACCCGGCCCAGCCCGCCGCCCGCCGCCCGCCGCCCGCCGCCCGCCGCCCGCCGCCCGCCGCCCGCCGCCCGCCGCCCGCCGCCCGCCGCCCGCCGCCCGCCGCCCGCCGCCCGCCGCCCGCCGCCCGACTCCCGCGACTCCCAGCGTGCCCCGCGCCGGGGGCCGTCTTCCGGCGGAAGTTGTCGCGCCGCCGTCGCGGCCTCTTCCCAGCTCGTGAGGGATCCGAGAGTACGGTCCTTGCGCTGTCTTCGCCCCGGCTCACCGCCGTCCAGAGACCCAGGGAGCAAATGAGGACCAGGGGTGGGGACACGCAGCCTAGCCACTGTCCTGCCTGGAACCCGGCCTCCCCGCCCCCTCAGCTGCGGGTAATCTCCCATTCCCTTGGCGCCCATGCCGCTCCTGGAGCGTTTCCCTTCTCCACCTCCACTTGCAGGCGGCTTTCGCCCTCCTAACTGATGGGGTTAACCATTGCATGTGGGACGTTTGGGGGATTCCTAGACTCCTAGAAAATTAGCCATCAATAAACGAGAAGGCCGGGCGCGGTGGCACGCGTCTGTAGTCCCAGCTACTCCGGAGGCTGAGGCCGGAGAATCGCTTGAACCCGGGAGGCGGAGGTTGCAGAGAGCCGAGATCGCGCCACTGCACTCCAGCCTGGGCGACAGAGCGCGACTGCGTCCCCTCGCCCCCTCAAAAGTAACTCACTGCTTCCATATGGTCCGTTTTCAAGACGAAACGGCTTCTATGTAGTCTGTATTCAACACCAAACGTGAAATGATTACTTTGCTAAAGATTCACTGTCAGTTTTTCTGGGGGGTGGGGTTATTTATGGGATTTGACAGTACTTTCCTCAAAAAAATGCACACACAATTTTACAAACAAGCTTCCAGAGGTTCATGCACCAGGGAGCCAGGTTAAGAACTTTTTTTTTTTTTTTTTTTTTTTGAGATGGAGTCTTGCTCTGTTGGCCAGGCTGGAGTGCAGTGGTGCAATCTCAGCTCACTGCAACCTCCACCTCCTGGGTTCAAGCAATTATCCTGCCTCAGCATGGGAACCTGCCACCAGGCCCAGCTAATCTTTTTTTTTTTTTTTTTGAGACGGAGTTTCGCTCTTGTTACCCAGGCTGGAGTGCAATGGCGCGATCTCGGCTCACCGCCACCTCCGCCTCCTGGGTTCAGGCAATTCTCCTGCCTCAGCCTCCTGAGTAGCTGGGATTACAGGCACGCGCCACCATGCCCAGCTACTTTTTTGTATTTTTAGTAGAGACGGGGTTTCACCGTCTTGACCAGGATGGTCTCGATCTCTTGACCTCGTGATCCACCCGCCTCAGCCTCCCAAAGTGCTGGGATTACAAGCTTGAGCCACCGCGCCCAGCATCTTTTTGTATTTTTAGTAGAGACGGAGTTTCACCATGTTGGCCAGGCTGGTCTCATAACTCCTGACCTCAGGTGATCCAGCTTCTCAAAGTGCTGGGATTACAGGCATGAGCTATCGGGCTCGGCCAAGAACTACTTTATTTTTTTAAGACAGAGTCTCGCTGTCACCCAGGCTGGAGTGCAATGGCGCAATCTCGACTCACTGCAACCTCCACCTCCCGGGTTCAAGCAATTCCCCTGCGCCAGCCTCCAGAGTAGCTGGGACTACAGGAGCTCGCCACCACGCTCGGCTAATTTTTTGTATTTTAGTAGAGACAGGGTTTCACCATGTTGGTCAGGATGGTATTGATCTCCTGACCTCGTGATCCGCCTGCCTCAGCCTCCCAAAGTGCTGGGATTACAGGCGTGAGACACCACACCTGGCCAAGAACTACTTTAAATAAATGTTTTGCTTGCTTGGTATGGTGGATAGAGAGGAAGATGTGAAGAGGGGAGACAAAAGCAAAAGGAAATACTGTCAGTAGGAAACAGCCAAATTACAACTCAGATGTGCAATGTTTCCATTAAGTAAATTGGCAAGGGACTATTACAATTCGCAGAAATCCACGTGCAGAAATTTTCAGATACGTCTTTGTGCCTCTTCCTAATCCTCCCTGGAAAATGGGGGATATTAGTGCAAGTTTGAGGAGATTTACAGTTGGAAAATGGACATATAGACATCACCAAACTGGACTCCAGAAAGCTCTGTCTAGGATTTTATTAGACTGCTTTTTTCTCAATATACCTGTGTTGGAAGATTGAGACAAAAAGGCACAAACTCACATTAAATAAACAAGATAATCTAATCAATTCTACAAAGTGTAGTTTGTAAAAGTAGCACTAGGAACCAACCAAAATAAGTCAGGGAGTCCCAGCGGGGACTGTAAAAGGAGAACTCGGGAAGATACACATGCCCGCAGTACTGACCCTGTCCTGGACTCTCTCCAGAAGGCCAGAGCCCAGCACCCCTCCTCCCTGTCCCGGACCTCTCTCCAGGAGAAGGCCAGAGCCCAGCACTCCTCCTCCCAGTCCCGGCACTGCTGTTTTGCTGGGGCTGTGACCCTGGGATCCTCATGAAAGCAGCTGGTCTGAAGGGGCATGGCACATGCTCATGTGCTAACCCTGGAGCTGAGCCTTTATCGTAAGTCCTTTTGAGTGCTGGTCAGTTTGGGGTGGGTGAAGAGGAAACGGGGTACTTAAAAGCAGCCAACACTGTTGCCCAGCAGCAGCACCATCCATGGGGATGGAACAGACCAGGGACATCCCTCTATGTTTATGTGGGCTGGAGTTCCAGATCCAGGCTGATAGCTCATCATGGATGCTTTTAAACTGGGGCAACAGGTGGAGGTGGGAGGAGCCCTCAGTAGGGTTAAAGTGATATGTGTGGGTCTCAAAGAGCCAAAGGAAGGATATTAACAGCTGCTGACCCTCAAACCACGTGACAACTGTCTGCCTAGAATGCCACAGTTTCTTTCAAGATAATCACCATCTGGACTTCCCCTATTTGATGAATGAAGAAGGGAAATCTAAGCACAAATATAATTAAGAGCTAATACAGAGCTTATAGGAAAACATTTACATTTTTCTCCAGTAGAATTGCCTCTTCTCCAGCTTTCCAAGTAAGATAAATGCTACCAGCAGTTGAGATGCTACTCAGATGCCTTACTAAAGTCCCCTAAAGGTGAGGAGACTCACACAGAGGAAGGTGCCTGTAACAAGACATCTGGTTCCAAAGGGACCTCAATGAAGGTCAGAGCTAACCATGCTGGGGGGTCTGAGTCTGTCCACCCTTGCCCCCGGAGGGCCACAGGGAAGCATCCATCAGGACGTCATAGGTGCAGTCCTGTGAGACACTCCCTTATTGCACTTAGAAATGAGTAAGGCAAACAAACTGACAAAAACATAAGGGTACATTATCCCACCCCACTTCTTGCGTCCCGGACAAAGATTTGGTCTCTCATTAGCAGATGCACCCAGGCTAGTGTGGGCTTGGATCATGGCACAGTTAGGCCAACATGCTTCACAAGGTTTGGGGAACGTCAGGTGACACTACCGCTATCTCAGATTCTCCCAGTAAGAGGCATACTCAGGCCCTGCCAAGTTGTAGGGAACTGTGAACACACAGCAGCGTCTATGCCGCTTGAGCCCGGACTTCCTCACCTGCCTGCTTTGGTAGAGTTCTGTACTACGATCACTACGTGCTTTTGAATTTCCAGGACAGAACTCAGCATGGGAGTAGGACGAGCTAAGTTCCTGATCCCCAAATTCCTTTCTGGCAACTGGAGATGGGGAAGGATGTTCTGGAAAAAAGCTTTTTGCATGCTCATATTTTGCAACATGAAAGACCAGGACTCTTGTGTCCTGACCAGCCTCAAAGACAGAGGACAGGGGCCTAAGAAAGCACAGAGAAAAGAGGATTATTGCTGAGTGGCAGCACCAGCCCGAAAGGGAAGAGGAGGAGCATGGACTTACAGAGCTCCTCGGGGTCGGACAGTTGGCATTTAGAGGGCGACTCAATTCTAGGGGCCACACGAGACAGTTCCTTCCAGGTGGAGAGCTGACTGGGCGATTTTGTAGGCTCTGCAGAGAGATTCAGAGTGGGCAACAGGAGGGCCAAAAAGCCACAGGTGTTTCTAAGAGAGCAGTAAACTAAAGATTCAGTGACTGAGGCAGGTTATCTGCATTTGTTAAATTTTCTTAAACAGACCGGCTGAGCCTTGGGTACCTCCATTTGCTAGAGCGCACTAAGGAAGGGTTACTGGGAGCAGAAATCAGAAAAGCACACTGCTATTCTGCGGAAGTGGGGAAAACAATGGATCTCTAGCTCATCCCCTCTCCAACAGGAGCACTCAAAACTGCAAAGATCTGCCCAGGAAGCAAATACCTCACTTTATCCCAAGGCTGAGAACAAATGAACTTAAATCATTTAAATCAACATATCACAAAGCTATCTGAAAGACTGAAAATGTCACTTGGAAATAAAAGGTCGGGGACACACACCAAAATGGGTCAGAACACAATGGAGAGACAAAGGAGCTGTAAATACAGCAGCCTGCACGCCACGTATCTGGGAGGAGCAGGCTCCTGCACGCGCGGGCTCCGTAATATCAGACGGTCTATCTGTTCACAATGTTAAAGGGCATCTAGAATTAGCTACAGGAAGGGGCTGGAAGTTGCCTGGAGAACGGGCACAGAACAGCTGCTTCTGAGGATGGCCTGTCACGTGGGAGGGTAGAGCTGCTGGGCCTTCCTGTTGACCACTGTCTTGCAAAACTAGAAGAAAATAAAATGATTAAGGAAGCAACAGGCGCAAACGGACACAACTGTAAATCATCCTCAACGGGAGTTTCAAAAGGAGGAAGCAGCTGGTGGGCAGAGAAGGGAATGGGGGAGAGAGCACTAAGGCCCGAGCAGTGACTGGGAAGCTGCACCACACACTCCACCTTGTCCTACCCTCCTGCCCCCGATAAGATGCTTTAAGAACACGGGCCGGGAAGAGCGAGCCGAGCCTGGCATCACGGCTGGTGAGACCCTGGGCCTGCTTAACCGCTAGTATTAGAGGCCAGTTTTTATTTGTGAAAATAATTTTCTCTCAGAGCCTAACTGGGAGCAGAGCCAGAT